GGGTGGTGGAAGGGAGGAAGTGTTTATGGCAAAGTGCAGAGCAAGGAGCCCAGCCTCTATTGCTTAATTCGCAGGCTCCCTGAGGGGTTAGTGGTAAAGGTTCTTAGAGACTGGAGTTGGGGCTGAGAGGTGTGCGTTCAGCTGTGTCCAAGTTTCTGGTTGATCTGTAGTGCTCATGACCCTGCTTTGATTGGTTGGTGATATCGTGGCCTTTAGGGAACTGTGACGATGGCAAAGTGGGCTTCAGTTAGCCTGCGCACTACATGTAGATGACAGTTACTTTACACTTGGCTTGGAGTTCCTAGGAAAGAAACCCTTCCAGACAAGACAGAACAGCAGGATGTTATCTACTGGAGAAACAAATGACCTCATGAATCCGGTGGTGTGATTAGGGACCTTGTAGGGCCAGCTGCACCACTCCCTCAATTCAATGAGTTAAATTTAGCAAGTAGTTGATTTGCAGTCGGAAAAGCTGGGCTAGGAAACTTCAAGTTAAGGAAGGGAAGCTGGGAGACTGGGACCTGATGGTATCTTGCATCTGCAGTCCAGGACCGTAGCAGGAATGGGGAACCTTTTTTCTGCCAAGAGCCATTTGGATACTTGTAACATTCACGGGCCATACCAAATTATCAGCTTAAAAATTAGCCTGCTGTAGATGCATTGAATTTCAAGTCTTGCCTGCGGTTGCCTTGGCAGGTCCAGACCAAATGATTTTGAGGGCCTTACATGGCTCGCGGACTGGACATTCCCCACCTCTGGTAGGGGCTCGGTTTCAAGTTCAGAACACACGTGTCTCTAATATGGCTCCCTGCTGCACTAGTCTTCAGGGCAGGGCGGGGTGGGAGTGGGAGGTGGAGGAGAGCATAAATCATGTGAGGAAAGACCCCCCACCCCCCACCCCCTGCTCAAACTTTCACTTGACCTGACCTTACCTCTGATGTGCCTTGTAGGGCAAATCCAACAAAGGAGGAAGCTGAAGTCGGGAGAGCGAGAGTAACTTCTCAAGGTTTATCCTTCTGGGTCTTTATCATTCTCAAGAGACAGTTTTACTTAACACTTTTTATTTTAACATTTGTTTTGTAATTCTGAATGTTTGTTCTGATGGGGTAGGTGTGAAACAACATTCCAAGTACTTGAGAATTAGGCTATTAGTTTCCTTTCATTGTTTTAGCAGTGGTTAAAAAGTTAATTTGGGGGCTGGCATTATGGCATAGCAGGTTAAACCTGTACTTGCAATGCTGGCATCCCATTGGGGCACCGGTTCTATTCCCAGCTGCTCCACTTCTGATCCAGCTCCCTACTAATGGGCCTGGGAATGCAGCAGAAGATGGCCCAAGTCTCTGGGTCCCTGCACCCACATGGGGGACATGAAGAGGCTCTGGGTTCATGCTTTTGGTCTGGCCCAGCCCCAGTCGTGGCCATTTGGGGAGTGAACCAGCAGATGGAATTCTCTCTCTCTCTCTCTCCACCCCCAACTCTGTCTTTCAAATAAATAAAAAATAAATCTTATAAAGAGATAGCTTTATTTTAAAAAGTGAATGTGGTGACTTAACCTCCTGAGTTTTCTGTTACGAGTTTCAACTTATTGATGTAAAACTTCTGTTAAGTAGTCAATTACAGGAATGTTATAGATGAAAATTCTGAAAGAGAGAAGAATTTCTTGAACTCACACATCTTTAGTGGAAATTAATAGTACTTATTACCCCTGAATGTTTGCTAAGTTAGTATTGCACTGAAAAAAACTTTTGTTTTTAAATATTTTATTTATTTATTTAAGAGGTAGTGTTACAGACAGTGAGAAGAAGAGACAGAGAGAAAGGTCTTCTGTTGGTTCACTCTACAAATGGCTGCAATGGTGGGAGCTGGTCTGATCCAAAACCAGGAGCCAGGTGCATCTTCTGGGTCTCCTATGTGGACTTGGGTCATCTTGTACTGCTTTCTCAGGCCACAGCAGAGAGCAGGATTGGAAGAGGAGCAGCTGGGACTTGAACTGGCGCCCATATGGGATACCAGCACCGCAGGCGGAGGATTAACCCACTGTGCCACAGAGCCGGCCCCTGAGAAAAAGCCTTTCATCATCAGATTATTTTTACTGTAGAAACATTGTATATACCCAGTTGTAACTTCTCACACAATTACTTATTTTTTTTTTTAAGATTTATGTTACAGTTCCAGCTGTTGCGGCCAATTAGGGAATGAACCATCAGATGGAAGACCTCTCTCTCTCTCTCTCTCTCTCTCTCTCTCTCTTTCTCTCCCTGCCTCTCCTTTCTCTGTATAACTCTGACTTTCAAATAAATAAATGTTTAAAAAAAAAGATTTATTTTATTTATTTGAAAGACAGAGTTACAAAGGGAAGTAGAGACAAAGAAAGGTCTTCCATCTGCTAGTTCACTCCCCAAATGGCCTCAACGGCCGGAACTGAGCCAATCTGAAGCCAGGAGCTAGGAGCTTCTTCTGGGTTTCCCACATGGGTGCAGGGGCCCAAGGACTTGGGCCATCTTCTTCTGCTTTCCCAGGTGCATTAACAGGGAGCTGGATTGGAAATGGAGCAGCACCCATATGGGATGCCAGTGCTGCAGGCCAGGGCTTTAACTTGCTATGCTGTATCGCCGGCCCCCTCACAAAGTCCCTACACAAAACCTTGAATACAGATGCTATACATCATCAGGTCCCAGCCTCCCATGACTCAGCCTCCCATGACTCCCATAATGACTCAGAGTTCTCAAGAAATAACTAACTTACAGACAATTGGAATGAGATAGAAAAGCTACTTTACCAGGATAAATAACTCAAAAGATGAATGTTTAAGTATGAGTTATTTGTCTGATGCTGCATTTAAATTGACTGACTAGAAACTGAAGAGTAATACTTGAAAAATGTGTTATCAATAAATAAGATTAAAAATTAATTGATTTATTTTCTATGTTATTCACATCGAGAACTTAGATTTTCTTTTTTCAAGATTTATTTACTGGGAATTGGTACAGTGGCACAGTAGGTTAAACCCCTGGCCTGCTGTGCCAGCATCCCATATGGACGCTGGTTTGAGTCCTGGCTGCTCTACTTCTGATCCAGCTCTCTGCCATGGCCTGGGAAAGCAGTAGAAGATGGCCCAAGTACTTGGGCCCCTGCACCTGTGTGGGAGACCCAGAAGAAACTCCTGGCTCCTGGCTTTGGATGGGCACAGCTCTGGTTGTTTGGCCAGATGGAAGACCAATATCTCTCTCTCTCTATCTCTTTCTCTCTCTCTCTCTCTCTTTCTGTGTGTGTGTGTGTGTGTGTGTGTGTGTGTAACTCTGACTTTCAAATAAATAAACAATAAAATCTTGAAAAAAGAAAAAGGAAAGAAATAGACTAGCTGGGGTTTGAACCAGGTACTTCACTATGGGATATGAACATCCCAAGTGGTGGCTTAACCAGTTGTACCACAGTGCCCATCCCAGAACCTGTGTTTGCTGATAAAACCTATTGACTGATAACTCTGTGAACATCCTGTATGATACTTTGTTTCTTTTGTTCTAACAAAAAGCAGTCCCCTCCCACCTTTTTTTTTAATCTAATGGTAGTTGATGACATCTTTGCAGAATTTGAGGATTAGATATTGTTATATAACACCCCCAAAACTGATCATAGGAATTGCTGTGGAACCCCCAAAACTCGGTTCTCTCACCTGATGTCCATCAAGCCAATCAGTAACAACAGGGTGATAGAAGAAAGGAAGTGTTTATTACAATACAGAGCAAGGGGCTGGCAGCTATCACTTAATCCTATGTTTCACAAAGAGTTGGAGGTAAAGGTTCTTATAGATTGACGTTGGGACTGAGTGGTGTGTTTTCAACTTGTGTCCAAGTTCCTGGTTGGTTTGCAATGCTCATAGCCCTCCTTTGATTGGCCAGTTATCACTGTTCTTCAGGGAATTTTGATGATGGCAAAGTGGACACCAGTAAATCTAGGGTCTATTTACAAGTAGTCGTTACTTTCTTACTTGGGGCCTGGGGTTCATGGGAAAGAAATCAGGAGAAATAAATGACCTCATGAGCCCAGTGATTGGGGACCTTGTAGAGCTGATTGCACCACTCCCACAATTCAGTGAGTTCATTTTAGTGAAAACAGTGCAAGGGGAACTTGACGCTATGAGAAGGAGTTGGGAGACTATGGGAGGCTGGGACCTGATAATGTATAGCATCTGTATTCAAGGTTTTGTGTAGGGACTTAGTTTCAGTATCAGATATGTAAAACCTCGCACATTTTATCTGACACTTAGTGCTCAGTATATCATGATTTTTATTGACTTACCTCATCTTTTTTTTTTTTCTTTTAAGATTCATTTATTTATTTATTTGAAAGGCAGAGTGACAGAGAGAGGGAAAGATCTTCCATTCATTCACTCAAGAAATGGCCACAGGGCTGGTTTTGTCAAAGCTGCCACCTGTAACAGCAGCATCCCATAGGGGTGCCATTTGTGTCCTGGCTGCTCCACTTTGGCCTTCTGAGGAGTGAACCAGCAGATGGAAGATCTTCTCCTCCCTCTATGTACTCTGCCTTTGAAATAAATAAATAAGCCTATTTAAAAAATGGATGCAAAGACCGAGTCTGGGCCAGGCCAAAACCAGGAGCCAGGAATCCCATCCTGGTCTCCCACATGGGTGGCAAGAGCCCAAGTATTTAGACCATCTTCCATTGTTTTCCAAGGTGCATTAGTAAGAAGCTAGATCAGAAATGGAGTACCTGAGACTTGAACCAGAACTCCCATATGAAATGATGGTATGATAAGTGGTAGCTTAACCTTCTGTGCCACAGTACTTGCCCACTGATCTTTATTACTTACTATAATAATTGGAAATTGTTATTAATTACTTTAATTATGTTATTAATTATGTTATGTATTATTACTTTAATTATGTTATTAATTACTTTAATCATGTTATTAATTATGTTATGTATTAATTATTACTTTAATTATGTTTTCCTCTCAAATTTTATTTACTCTTCTACAGGTGTATCTACATCAGCAATCAAAATGGCATCAACAAGACTCCCTTCCCCTAAAAGCTTAGTGGGTGCCCCAACTCAGATTCTTGCACAGTTTCCTAAACAGCATCAACAGTCTCCTAAGCAGCAATTACATCCAGTGCAACAACAGACACAGCAACAAGTGGCCCAGCCTTCTCCAGTAACTCATCAGCAACAGCCTCAGCAGTCTGCTTTGCCACCTGGCATCAAACCTACCATCCAAATCAAACAGGAATCAGGTAATTGGAAAATGTTTACAACATACTGTAATTCTGGCCCAATCACCAGTTCTCTGAGTCTTCCAGTCCATGAACATGGTATGCCTCTCAGTGTGTTTAGGTAGAGTGACAGAGAGAGAGAAGTTTCATCTGCTGGTTCACTCCTCAAATGCTTGCAGCAGACAAGGCTGGGCCTAGTTGATCCAGGAGCCAAAAACTTGATCTAGGTCTCTCGTTTGAGTGGCAGGGGTCAAGTTCTTGAGCCATCATCTGCTGCCTCCCAGGATACATTCACAAGAAGCTGGACCGGAAGTGGAGTACTCAGACCTCAAACTGGCACTCTGATATGGGATATGAGTGTCCAAAGAGACAGCTTAATCCGCTGTGTGAGAATGCCCACCCTACACTAACTTTTTAAAGTATCCTCTTACATTGCTGGCTTCATTTTGTCTCCTCTGTTCATGTGAGATAATAGTCTGTAGTTTTCTTTTTTCTTTTTTTTTTTTTTTTGTACAAATGTCTTTTTTATTTATTCAAAAGTACAAAATAAATTATCTGTAGGCATGGACAGTGACAGCAGTAAACCATTATATATTGTCAACTGAAACCATGGATCACTCCATATTTTCATCCTCCAACGTCTGTAGTTTTCTTATTTTGTATTGTCTTTGGTTTTAGTAGCAGGACAATACTTGTGGGGAGCAATCCGGACTGGACTGAGTTACTGGAATTAAGACTTATTCTATGCATCTGCTCTCCCACAATATGGCGCTGGGAGAGAAGTAAACAGCTTCCGCGCAGCTGCCTCCAGTTCAACCAATTAACTGTAGGACTTGCTCCTGATTGGAGAGCAGCGTACTTGGCGTGTGGGCAGCCGAGTTGGGATTGGCGGAGGAGGACTATAAAGGAGGAGAGAGACGGCATGCACCGGGAACATCTAAGGGGAACACCTGTGCAGCCCCCGAGAAGAGCCGGCCGGCGGTGTGCCGCTCCCCTGCGGAAGTGGGGAATGTGGCCAGGGGGAGCTGCCCTTCCACGGAGGTGGAAGGGATAGTAGCCAACCCGGGAAGAACCAGCAGCAAACCCGGGGAGGGCCGAGCAGACGAAAGAACAGCGCAGGGTCCTGTGTTGCTCCTCCACGAAGAGGGGGAGCGACAATACTGTTCTCTGATAGCATGAAATTAAAAGTATTCCTTCCTTTTCTATTTTCTGGAACAGATTCTGTAGGATTAATATTAATTATTTAAAATTTTTTATTTGTTTGAAAGACAGAGACAGAGATTTCCTATCTGCTGGTTAACTCCCCAAACACCAACAACATCCAGGACTGGACCACGCTGAAGCCAGGAGCCAGGAACTCAGTCTGGTCTCCCATGTAGATGGCAGGGAACCAATACTTGAGCCATCACCTGCTGCCTCCCAGAGTGTTCATTAGCAGGAAGCAGGAAAGGAGTTGGGGCTTAAACTCAGGCATTCTGATACTGGATGCAGGTGTCCCAAACAGTATCTCAACTGCTGTGCCAAATGCGGCCCTTGGTATTAATTACTTAAGTGCTTAAACAGTGCAATCGTCTGGGCTTGGACACTTTTGGGGTGGGGGGTAGCTTTTAAGTTAGGAATTTAGTTTCTTTACTAGTTATAGGACCATTCAGATTGTCTGTTTCATCTTGGTTAAGTTTTTGTAATTTGTGGTTTGCAGGGAACTAGTCCATTTCTTTTGTGTTGTCAAATTTATGAGTGTGTTTTCAGTAGCAGTTCCTTATTATCCCTTCTGTGGCTACAGGATCTGTATGACTATCTCACTTCATTTCTTTTTTCTTAATTTAAAAATTTATTTATTTTCATTTTATTTGAAAGAGAGAGAGAGGCAGGTAGACAGAGTCAGATGAGAGAGCTTCCTTCTACTGGTTTACTCCCCAAATGCCTGTAAAAGCCAGGGCCGGGCCAGTCTAAAGTCAGGAGCCAGGAAGTCGGTCTGGGTTTCCCGTGTGGATGGCAGGGATCCAAGTACTTGAGACATTGCCTACTGCCTCCAAAGGTGCACATTAGCAGGAAGCTGGGATTGAAAACGGAGCTGGGACTTGAAGCCAGGCCCTCTGATATGGGCTCCAGGTAGTCCAGGTGGAATTCTAATCACTGTGCCAAACACTGACCATACCCTGCTTCATTTCTTTTTCCTCCTTCCCTCTCCCTCTCTCTCTCTTCCTTCCTTATTTCCTTCCTTCCTTCCTTCCTTCCTTCCTTCCTTCCTTCCTTCCTCCCTCCCTCCCTCTCTCTCTCTCTCTCTCCCCCTCCTCATTCCCCTCCCCTCCCTCCCTCCCTCCTTCCTTCCTTCCTTCCTTCCTTCCTTCCTTCCTTCCTTCCTTCCTCCCTCCCTCCCTCCCTCTCTCTCTCTCTCTCCCCCTTCTCACTCCCCTCCCCTCCCTCCCTCCCTTCCTTCCTTCCCTCCTTTTCCTTCTTTCTTATTTTAAAGGCAGAATTACAGAGAGAGGGAGAGATGGTTATATTCCATCCTCTGGTTCACTCCCCAAATGGCCGCATCAGCTGGGACTGGGCCAGGCCAAAGGCTGGAGCCAGGAGCTTCATCTCCCATGTAGATGTAGGGACCTAAGCTCTTGGGTCATCTTCTGCTGCTTTACCAGGCACATTAGCAGGAAGCTGGATAGGAAGTGGAGCAGCTGGTACTGGAGCTGGTGCCCATATGGGATGCTGGTGCTGCAGACAGCAGCTTAACCCACTGCACCACAGCGCTGCCCTCCCTGCTTCATTTCTGATATTGTTTTGTATCTTCTGTGTCTTTTTCTTTGTTAGACTTGGTAAAGGTTTGTCAATCTCTTCATTATATTTTGTATACCAATCCAGTTGTGCCAATGTAATTTGCATAAATAACTATTCTTTGCCCCATCTAATGATCATGGCAACCTTTTCAAATATTAATTGAATATCTAGATTCTCAGTTCTGTTGATCCATATGTCTGTCTTTTTGTGAGTACCATACTTTGTTTATCACTATTGTTTGAACTATGTTTTGAAATTGAGAAGTGTGAATTCTCCTGTTTTGTTCTTTTTAAAATTGTTTTGTTTTGACTATTATGGGTCCCTTGCAAAACCATATGAATTTTGGAATTTTGTCTGTGAATAGGTTCATATTTTCCTGTTTCTTTGCCTCCAAATGTTTATGTTGAAAATTGGACATTTTAGATGATATGTTGTAGCTGGGTACTGATCTGTCCTCCAAGAATTTGTTACTGTTATTTGCTTGGTTACTTGTTTAGAGACAAAGCAATTATTTTAGTGAATTCTATTGATTCCGTCCCCCTCATCCTGACCCCTTGCAGTATTAAGCTCTGATGTCACTCTTTTAGGGAGGTACAGGTCTGGGTATTCCCACTGTCACTGTGAGATGATTATGTAATTGTTATGGCTATCTGACACAATTTCCCTGACCACACACACACCATGGAACATGCATTCCTCCACAAGCTAATCCAAATTTTGGCTCCTTTTAGGAAATAGTTTTGGGGGTTCATTTTTTATATTTAATTGTGACGCCGAGAGGATTCCTCCTAGCTTTCTTATTTACCAATCTTCTCCAAACTGTCTAACCTGTAATTTATTTATTTATTATTTATTTTAAAAAGATTTATTTACTTATTTGGGAGGCAGAGTTACAGAAAGAGAAGGGGGGGTCTTCCATCTGCTAGTTCACCCCCAAACAGCTGCAACAACCAGAGCTGGGCCATTCCGAAGCCAGGAGCCAGGAGCTTCTTCCAGGTCTCCCATTTGGGTGCAGGGCCCAAGCACTTGGACCATCTTCCGCTGCCCCCCCAGGCCATTAGCAGGGAGCTAGATTGGAAGTGGAGCAGCCGGTACTCGAATCGGAGTCCATATGGGATGCCGGTGCTGGAGGTGGAGGCTTAGCAGACTACGCCACAGCGTTGGCCCCTTAACCTGTAATTTAAACTGTATTTTCATTAAGGTGATGAATCTCCTTCCAACTGCCTTTTACTACATCAGCTACTATTCTTGAAAATGCCTTTATGCTTGAAATTCTCCATGTTCTGTTATAAATAAAATTAGTTTCTTTGAGAAGTGATTAGGAGCACTCTGTTTATTACCTGTCTTTATTCTTAGATAAATTCTCTGAGCCACAGTTTGGGTGGGGTCATCTGGCAAGCTTGACAGCCCTACTTGAGGCACTGAGTGCTCAATGAAGGAAGGTAAGGGTGAGGGAGTGGGCAGTGGTCTGAGGTCCTCTTGCTTCTTCTGGGAGCCACTGCCTTACAAGCTAGGCAAGGACCAGTTGTTCTCCAGTATTCTCAGGGGCGTTGTGCCTCGGGAGATCTTTAGTCCGTGAACTGTGGTCTGGGCAGAAGGAACATCCATTTCTCAACTGCACTCACTGGGACTTAGCCTTAGCAATAGGTAGTCTGGGGCAAAATGAGATACGCTGAAGTTTTGCACTTCCTGGGCTGAAAGCCAGGAGAAGAAGGAACCCTGTGTTCTTCGTTACAGAAATCTACTGGAGTAGTCTTCCTTTTCTGAGCTGGTAGAGGAGGGAACGGAAAATAGTTTGAGTTCAAATATCACAAATCTTGCTTTTCTTACCAAATTTTTAGATTTTCTTGGATAGATTTCTTTTTTTAAAAAAAATTTATTTATTTATTTGCAAGTGAGAGTTACACAGAGAGAGGAGAGGCAGAGAGAGAGACAGAGAGAGGGCTTCCATGGTTGGCTCACTCCCCAGTTGGCTGCAACGGCCGGAGCTGTGCCTATCCAAAGCTAGGCGCCAGGAGCTTCTTCTAGGTCTCCCACACAGATGCAGGGGCTCAAGGACCTGGGCCATTCTCTATTGCAATCCCAGGCCATAGCAGAGAGTTGGATTGGAAGTGGAGCAGCCGGGTCTCGAACTGGTGCCCATATGGGATGCTGGCACTGCAGGCAGCAGCTTTACCTGCTATGCTACAGCACTGGCCCCTGAGGTAGATTTCTTAATTTGCTGTTTGCTGCATGAACTATTTCCAGAGGCTTTCAATCGTTTTATAATTTTTAGAAGTTCACTAGGTTAGTTGGATAGCAGAAACTGATCTTTGGAATGGTTTTAAGTATGTTGTACATTGTAACTATCTTATTTTTAAAAGAACTGTAGAATGTCTATGAATCTATCTTGGCCAGCTACTTTCGAAGGGGAAGATATTTTAAAATTTCTTCTGTGGAAATTTGTTTATTTGGATTTTTTCTCCTTTCTAGCATCAATTTTGATAAATAGTATTTTCCTAAAACATTGTCTCTTTGTTCTAAATTTTAATTTGTTTACATAGGATTGAGCAAAGTAATTTATTATGACTGTCTTTTTTTAAATGTCTGTGGTTATTTCTCAGTGGGCTTCTTTATGTGTTTTAAGCATTATTATAGTTCATTAATGAAATAATAATAGAAATCATTGTCTCTCTTACAACGGCCTCACTGTTTGTGATTTACTACAATCAGAATTTCCTATTTCCACAAAAAGAATAGTTTAAATTTTTAATGTATCTGTAATACTGTACTTATGGGGTCTTTGCTCTGTATTCGACTCTTTATAATTTTTTTTTAAATATAAGTGGCCATTTAATGATCTTCACCATGGTCTCTGTTCTCAATAAAAAATAAAAACTCATAGATTTGATGCAGAGTGTGGGGGGGCGGTCAATAGAAGAAACTCATAGGAGCCCCAGATTGCATTTTCTTCATTGTTTATCAATTCCACCTCAAAAGGGGAAGGCACTTTACCATTTTGATTTATTTAATCATCAAAATAGCCCTATGAGTTTTATATTAATAATATATTTATTTTATGGGTAAGAAAGCAGAGTCGCAGAAACTGAGTAACTTACCTAATTGTGCCTATGTATCATAATTTTAACTTCTTTGTGGATTTCAAGAAGTTTAGAATTATTTAAGGCTATTACATATATAAATCTATGTCTCTTCCAATGCTTTAGCCTAAAGCACCATCCAAAAAAATTAATGCAAGTGTTGTCTATAGGAGTATGTTTATCTTATGAATTATTTCAGTCATGATGATAGTCAGGGAAAAGCTACAAAACTTTACTTCTGGATTACCAGCGTTGGTACTCTATATCTCTAGTCAGCCTAAGAATTTCCTTTTAAACTCATGTTTTATGTTTGGAAAGTCGATATAACAAATACAGCATTGTAAGTAAATTTTTAAATGTAAAAGAATCATAGCATCACCACCCTAACATTTTAATTTTATTTTTGCCTATCACCTTCAATTTTTTTTCCACAGATATATTTTGTGTGTGCAATAATAATGTATCTTTTTGTTCATATTCTGTATTTGATGATGTGAGTTATTAAGAAAACTTTTAAAGTAGACAATTTGGGGGGTGTTTGATGCAACAGTGAAGATGTCACTTGAGACACCTGTGTTTCATATCAGAGTGCCTGGGTTCAGTCCTGGCTCCAACACTGATTCTAGTTTTCTGCTGGTGTGCACCTGTGAAGCAGCAGGTAATGGCTTAAGTGGTTGGGTCCCTGCTACCCACTTGGGAAACTTGAATTAGATTTCAGCCTCCTGGCTTTGGCCTTGCGTAGCCCCAGCTGCTGTGAGTATTTGGGGAGTCAACCAGTGGATGGGAGAGTGGACTAGTGGATGGGAGCTCTCTTAGTCTGTGTCTATCTCTCTGCTTTCACATAAATAAAATAAATTTAAAGAATTTAAAAGCAGACAATGTAAAAATTAAACCAAAAAATAACATTGGTGTATGTAGTTTTCAGTAGCTTTTATTTAAGTTTAAGGAGTTATGAGAAGTCTTTGGTGGAGTTGGGAGTATGTAAAAGCTATATTAACTTTTGTTTTTGATTTCTTATGCTAGTCCTTTTATTTCAAGTATTTCATAAAACAGATGATTTATTTGCCTGTAAAAGTTCAAGTCTGATGACACTTTGATTTAAAAATGTGTATATACACAACTGTAGACAAAAAATTTCTTTTTCTTTAGGAACTTAGCTAATATATAATGTTCTAGTTGCATTTCTGAAATAAGAGAAAAAGATAGGAATCTGAGAAATAGAAGTTTAAAGAGTTTCATCAATATTAATAAAAAAGCTTCTCTTTAGGAAAGACTGCCCTCTGGGGATGGTATAAGAGACATGTTTTTTGTTGTTGTTGTTGTTGTTTTGTTTTTAATTTGTGCTGAGATTTATCTTTCTTCTTTCAAAGGTGTTAAAATCATCACACAACAGGTTCAACCAAGTAAAATCTTACCAAAACCAGTGACAGCAACTCTGCCTACCAGTAGCAATTCCCCTATTATGGTGGTTAGCAGTAATGGTGCAATTATGACAACTAAACTGGTAACCACTCCCACTGGTAAGTTCTGTCATCATATGTTCATGACACAGTTTCTCCGTACAGCAATACTCCTAAGTACCACAGCGGGTAGAAAGAGGAATGAGACGATTCTTCCAGGAGGACTTTCTTGACTGTCACACCCCGAAAAGATTGAAATGAGTATTTTCTTGCTATTCCTTTTCATGATCCTCTGGTCTTTTCTTGATACCACTTATCATAATTACTTAGCTGGTTAGTTATTGATTATTTAATGTTCTCCATATTAGATTGTAAGCTCCATGTGTGTAAGAAGCCATATCTTCTTTACTCATCATATACATCTACTTAGAGCAGACCCGGCGGTAGGTGCTGAGTCAGGATTTACTGAGTGGATGAAAACAGTCCCAACCCTCATTCTGTGTAGCCTTGTCCTGTGGTTAGTGTTTACTGAGACTGAGAAGAAGCACGAGATGCGATTGTGTCCAGGTAAGAGAGCAGCCGTCTGAGTTTGAGGAGCAGACAGTGCAGGGCGTTTTACATAATGCCACTGTGTGAGTCTGCTTTTTGTTACTTTAACTAAGACTGAGAAGAGCGGTTCTGGGGGGAAGGAAAAGGTTCATTTCATCTTACCCTTTGGAGAGTCCAGGTCAGGGTGGGGATGCCCCAAAATCCAGCATCTGTGCAGGTCGTTGCAAGTACAGAGGGGCAATCATATGATCATATGTGAGCCAGGGAACAGAGAGACAGCATAGACTGAACTGGAAAACTCAAAATAACTGTCTTTGGAGAATCACCCTCTAAGGGCACTCCCCACCAGCGACCCACTCTATACCCTAACCCATCAACCATTAACATTAAGACATAAGAATTTAAGTATCTTATAGGAGTTTTGGAAAGATAAGCCCCACTGTACCCATAACAGCCAACCTTTGTAGCCTTTCCATCATCTATTTTAATGGAGTAATACCTATGCAATGAAATTATTGTATTAAGTGACATAAAGTATGTAAAAAGTCCCCAATATAGTGCTCAATAGTTATTACTATTAATATTAGAATTAGCCCTTACTATTATTTCAGGTGTGTGTAACTGGATTTTTTGAGGAGGGCCAATATTTAGATGATAGGCTTTAATAGCATAAGATGATAGCTGTCAAGTTTATAAACTGTGATTTATTGGCCAGTATGTGAAGGCCTGTACAAATGTTGCACTTAATCTCTTCCAGACTTTATTATCTTCATTTTCAGCCACTTGCATTAAAGCAGCGTGCCTAAGGTCACACAGTCAAAGAGGGACAGAGCTGGGATTTGAACCCAGATGTGTTTGACTCCAGACAAAACCCCTGTGCTTTCTTTTTTTTTTTTAAATTGTAGTGAGTTACTTATAACATGGAAGTTCCCATTTTAAAAAGGTATTTTTTATTTCTTTATTTGAAAGGCAGAGTGACAGGGGCATGGGAGGGAGGGAGGGAAGGTGTGTGTGTGTGAGAGAGAGAGAGAGAGAGAGAGAGACAAAGAGAAAGAGAGAGAGAGAGAAAGTCTTCAATTTGCTCGTTTATTCCCCAAATGAGTACAGTAGCCAGGTGTGGGCCAGGCTGAAGCCAGCAACCAAGAACTCCATCCTGGGCTTTCTGGTGGGCTTCCACTTGGGCCATCATCATCACTGCTTTCCCAGGCATATTAGCAGGAAGCTGGATCAGGAGTGGAACAGCCGGGACTTGAGTCGGCACTCTGATCTGGGATGCCAGCATCACAAGTGGTGGCTTAATCCAGTGCACCACAGCACCAGCCCGAAGGGTACCAGTTTTAAGTATACAGATTATTGGCGTCAAGTGTGTTCACGCTGAATGACCATCAGTACTATCTATCTCCAGAGCTTTTTCATCTTCCCATATTAAAACTCTGTGTCCATTGAATAGTAATTCTTCATTCCCCACTTTCCCCCAGACCTAGGCAGCCACCATTTTATTTTCTTTCTCTGTGCAAAGCCTGTGCTTTTAAACACTATTCTATTGTAATAAATCTATCATACTTACCCTAAACTCTTCTCCATTTAGCACAAAGATAATAGCATTATGTATGTATGACTCCTCATGTTAGGGAGAGGTGGTAAAACGTAATACTGTGGCTATGTTTGTGTGCCTGTATTAGAATATGTGTTCATAAAAGGTTAAGTTAAAATATTTTTAGTTATAATTCAAGAGATGCAAACTGTGTATACCTATAGCATATTTACTTTTTACTAGATTTGTTTCCATTCAGATGTATGCTTATATCCAATTGAAACTAATTGTATCTGCTGTTCCTCCCCATCCCCCTTTTTTGACTAGTGGTTGTAATTTTAAAAGGTAAATAACTTGTTAAAAGCCTCCCCCCACCCTTTTATTTATTTATTTTTTGAGGTGGGGGGTTTGTTGAAAATGGCTCATAGTAGCTTCTGAGTCCAATTATTGAGAAAGTTTTTTTCAGTTCCAGGTGTTAATGTATCTTTTATTTATTTTTTCATTCTCCCCAAGGCTAATAATTCTTTGTTTTGGAATAGTCTTTCTGTTGTTGGATTTGTAAGAAACTAAAACAGGATCATCTGGCTAGTTTTTAATTCCTGTTTGGGAAAAGAGTGAAGTCCTAGAAATATTGGAGAAGGGTATAAAAACCTTTGAGAGACATGAAGAAAAATATTCGAACAGGTCAAGAGTTGAAGAAATATGTAAATAGAGAAAATTTTAAGTTAAAGAGAAACATTCCTGGCAGCTCTTGGCAGCTTCAGCTTTAATCTCTAGTAAAATGATGGGCTAACCTTTTTAAAGTTGGAAATAATATTTAGAGAGAATCAGAGTACAAAACAGCAAAAGTTTATATAATTTTAGGTAAATAATATTGACTTATTTGTTGACTGCTGACATTGTGTTTGGCACTGAAGCAGCATAAAACAGATGCAGAGACCTTAAAAAATCTTACAGAAATATCTAAAATGCTATGGCAGGAAAGATGATTAAATTTAAGTTTCTTTTGGCATGAAGCTAGTGGAAGAAGTCTAGTGGAAGAGGGAATAGGGTTAGCTCTACTTGAGTTAGTAATTTGATGCAACACATCACAAAATTTTATGTGTAAAATTGTTTCAAATTGACTTGGCTTCACTTCTTGCTATGTGCATTGAAAACTGGCTATAAAATTGTAATGTCTTGACACCTTGAAGTTCCATTTTCAAGTTAAAGCAGTGTACATTACATTGAAGTTTTTATAATAGTTTTTTATAGTTTAATGGTGCAAGTTATCATTCTTCTGTATGTAATGACAGGTTTTTCTTTTGGATTTTCCCTTTTGATAGGCACACAGGCAACCTATACCCGGCCAACAGTGAGCCCATCCATAGGTCGGATGGCTGCAACCCCTGGAGCTGCGACCTATGTGAAAACTACCAGTGGGAGCATCATTACAGTAGTACCCAAGTCATTAGCTACTCTGGGGGGCAAGATAATTAGCAGTAATATAGTTTCTGGTAGGTATATCTGAAATATCTTAACGATATAGGTGAACGTCAGTGAGAGGAGAAAATCTGTCTCACTATTGAAGGATTCTATTTGATTTTTTTAAGCTCTCTGCTTAGAAATCTGATATTTTGTTTTCAGTATGTATGTTTAGTGATTAAGTATAATTTTTACTTTTAGTGTTTGCAAATAAAGCTTTCGATAATCCTAAAACAAAGAACATTTAGCTGTTTTTAGTTACAATAGAAATATTGTGGCTTATGTTTGCATAGAGAGTTTTCATTTTAGTATTCTATTTGGCAACAAAGTCAGACCTCCTAACAACTCTGAGGTAGTAGATAAACTGTGCCCGATTTATAGATGAAGTCAGATTTGAATTTATAGAGGTCACATTGACTTGTCCAAGGCCATGCAAGCTAGATAGTGAAGAACTAATATTTGTTAATCTGCGTATGTTTGAAGTAACATACCTCATAATTTCATTTAATAGTGTCACTTTGGTTTATTAAAAATAAAAAACTTGAATATCTTTGCTTCTCTTTTCACCATTTATATTAACTTCTTTTTAAAAATATTTTACTCAGTGAAGCTAACCATTTGCCTATTTACTGGAATATTGGAACCTTCTCTGGTTTTTATTGGCTCATTAATCCCCATAAGTATTTGGGTTATGGACCCTGAAGTGGGAATGTTAACATCTGTTTTCATTGATTATTATTTTTTAATTAAAATGAAGTAAATAATGTATGATTAAGCAAACCTTGTGATTTTTAACTGTCACCATTTTTGTGGACCAGTCATATTTTGTTTGCCCCAGGTGAGTTGTTCTGACATTTTAATGTCAGGGGATTGAAGTTCTTGGCAGTAATTTGATGTTGCTGATAACTTGGGGAGTGAAAAAAAAGCACAACAGGGCATGGTATTGGCATAAAGCACTATATTTAAAGCTGTTAATTTTGGCTTTACTTTTAAGTGTAAGTGAGAAAATCCAATGTTTGCCAAACTGAGGAGGGTGAAACCAGTTGGGAAAGAATCATCGTATTCCAGGTTTTAAGAGGGCATTTTAAATAACACAGTTAAAGCTCAAATTATAATTTATTACTTGACAATATCTTTAAATAGTATAGAGCACTTAATTAAACATATTTCAAGAAGTTTTTCATTGGTAGTAGCTTTTTATGACCTTAAGGATTTTTCTTTACTTATATATGCATGTGAAATACCATGTAACTTGAGGGAATGTCACAAGACCTGTTTTCAGACCTTCACTGCTTTGTAGAGCAATACAGTTAAGCCACATGCCCGTAAAAGAAGACGTGTGGCCTGAGGAAGTCCATATCTTATGCTTGTATTCATATGATTCACCTTTGTGTTTAAGTATAAACCCACTCTTGAGATAGTTACTATTTCAGGAGCAGCTCTGTCCACGAGGAGTCCCTGACCTTTTCTGGCACTGTAGGAGATACTTGACATACAGCTGAAACATCCTTATTCCTCACGCATTTTGGCCGTATCCTCTGTTTTCATGGTTGGATAATTTTATTCCATTTATTTCACTGTTTGACATTTTATTTACTCCCACTGATCCTTGGGTTAGTTATTACTATTCTTCATTAAGATACTTCTCTCATTTGATAGTATTCTTTTTTATTTTAAGATTAATTTATTTGAAAGGCAGAGTTGCAGAGAGAAAGAGAGATCTCCCATCACTCCCCAAATGGCTTCAATGGCTAGGGCTGGTCCAGGATGAAGGTAGGAGTTTCATCCAGGTCTCCCACATGGATGCAGAAGCCCCAGTACTTGGACCATCTTCCCCTGCCCTCGCAGACACATTAGTTGGATTGGAAGTGGAGCAGCCAGGACTTGAACCCACTCCTGCACAGGATGCGGCATTGCGGGTGGCAGCTTTACCTGCTGTTGGCTCCTATACTTCTCTCTCTCTCTTTCATTTTTTTTTAAAGGTTTATTTATTTATTTGAAAGTCAGGGTTTCACAGAAAGAGGAGAGGTAGGGAGGGAGAGAGAGAGAGAGAAAGAGATTGAGATCTTCTATCCATTGGTTCACTTCCCAATTGGCCGCAATGGCCAGAGCTGCGCCGATCCGAGGCCAGGAGCCAGGAGCTTCTTCCTGGTCTCCCACTCAAGTACAGGGGCCCAAGGACTTGGACCATCTTCTACTGCTTTCCCAGGCCATAGCAGAGAGCTGGATTGGAAGTGAAACAGGCAAACTGGTGCCCATATGGGATGCTGGCACTGCAGGTAGTGGCTTTACCCACTATGTCACAGCGCCAGCCGCCGGCCCCCCCCCCATAGTAATCTTGTTGATTCATCATACAGGAGATAATGGGTTGGTTTATTACTAATTTTTTAATTCCTCATTGTCTATTCATAGTAAACTAGAAAGCCTTGTTGAATAAACTTGGAATTTTCTGCCTTCCTCCGTGAACATATGATGGATTCTAAAGTTCTCTCTTCCTTAAACAAACAAAAAGTAATAAGATTTCTAAGACACATTCAAGCATCTAACTATAAGAATAGAAGGCTTAGAGTCCAGTGCTGTGGCACAGCATGTGGGCACCAGTGGTTCAAGTCCCATCTGCTCAGCTTCCCATCCAGCTCCCTGCTAATGTGCCTGGAAAAGGAGTAGAAGATGACTCAAGTCCTTGAGCCCCTGCCACCCACATGAGAAACCCAGATGAAGCTCCAGGCTCCTGGTTTTGGCCTGGCCAAAACCATTTGGGGAGTGAACCAGTGGATGGAAGAGCTTGCTCTGTCTCTCCTTCTCACTCTGTAACTCTGCCTTTCAAATAAACAATTAAATCTTATGAAAAAAAACAGACAAGAATAGAAGGCTTTAAAAAATACTTTGTTCCTCATTGTGGTAGAATTTGGAAAATGCAGAAAAGTACAAATAAAATTAAAATCCTATAATTTTCACCATCCATAGAAATGTGTTAAAATTAGGTTTCTTTTCACTTCTTCTCCCATTCACTTTGTTTATGTAGATATGTTTGTATGTATTTGAGGGTATTTCAAAATGTTCATGGGAAAATGGAATTAAAAGGTTTATTTTGTTGCAATGTGAAATTTTTTTAATTTATTTTCATTTTATTTGAAAGGCAGAGAGGGAGAGAGAGAGAGCGAGAGAAAGAGATCTTCCATCTACTGGTTTATTCCCTAAATGACTGCAACAGGTGGGGCTGGGCCAGGCTGAAGGCAGGAGCCTGGAACTCAATCCAGATCTCCTATGTGAGTGACAGGGACGCAAGTACTTGAACCGTCATCTGTTGCTTCCCAGGGTGCATATAGCAGAAGCTGGAACCACAAGCAGAGCCAGAACTTGGACTCAGGTACTCCAATATGGGATGCAGGCATCTTAAGTGGTATCTCAGCTGCTGTGCCAAATGCCTGCCTCTGGTACAAAATGTTTTGGAATTCATGCATAGTTGGGATCTTATAATAGTTTGTTGAAAATGTGGTTTATGAAAAAGTATACAGTAAAAAATTTTTGTGCCAAAATAACTTGCCTTTAATTTTATTTTCCATGAACTTTTTGAAGTACTCTTTTGTATGTATATTTTAAAAATTAAATTGGGATCTCATATAAGCAGTTTTTATTCTTGTTTCATGTAATTGTTATTTTCTCATGCTGATAAATGTATTTTGTTGTATGTCCCTTTAATGTCTACATAATACTGTCACATATGATGAACTGTAATTTAACCCTTTCCTTAAAGGTTAAATGTTTTTAGTTACTTACAAGGTTTTTGTTGTTTTTATTATAAATAACCCTTTGGTGAACATTATTATGCATAAACTTATTGCGTAAAGTTCTTTTTTTTTTAAGATTTATTTATTTGAAAGGCAGAGTTACGGAGAGAGAGAGAGAGAGAGAGAGAGAGAATATCTTCCTCCTGTTGGTTCATTCCCCAAATAGCCAAAATAGCCAGAACTGGACTGATCCAAAGCCAGGAGCTATGAGCTTCTTCTGGGTCTCCCACATGGGTGCAGGGGTCCAAGTACTTGGGTCATCTTCTGCTGGTTTCCCAGGTGCATTAGCAGGGAGCTGGATCAGAAATGGAGCAGCTAGGACTCAACTGGCACCTGTTTGGGATGCCGGCTCTGTAGGCTGTGGCTTTACCCACTCCGGCACAATGCTGGCCTCTGTAAAGTTCTTCCTTCCTTTGTATAAAATCCTAAAAGAGAAATTAATGTTTCCAAAGTGTTTTCAAGAGAGGTCAAGGTTTTCTTTTTATTAGAATAATCAATTAAATGGAAAGCATGCCAAGTTACATATTTATTTAAGTGTGTATCTATGAATTAACTATGAGATTTATTACTTTTTTTGTGAACTTTGTTGAGGGTTAAAAGATAATACTCATTTTACACAGATGAGGTCTACTTGTCATTTATTTGTCCTAGGTTCTCATAGTGCCCAAAGCGTAAATACAGTGGAAGGACTTGATTTTTATCTTTTTTAAAAAATGTCTTTTTTAAAAAAAGATTTATTCATTTTTATTTATTTATTTATTTATTTGAAAGGCAGAGTGACAGAGGGAGACGGAGAGACAGAGATTTTAATTCATTGTTTAACTCCCCAAATGCCCACAACAGCAGCAGCTTTGCTAGGCCAAAGCCAGGAGCCAGGAACTTCACATGGATCTCCTTTGTAGGAGGCTGGGACCCACATACTTGGGCCTTCATCCACTGCCTTCCCCGGTGCATTAGCAGAAGGCTGGATTGGAGAGGAATAGCTGGGACTCAGACCAGTGCCCTGATACGGATTGCAGACATCCCTGGCAGAGGCTTAACCCACTGTGTCACAGCGCCAACACTTTTCCTTTACTCATGGCCTCATTTCTTTGAGCAAAGTAACATACAGCATTACCTGAGAGACCATGATTGTCAGGATAATTTCAGAATCTGTGGGTGGTAAAGTCTGAGCCAATAAATTTGTGATCTTCTTTAAGTTACCTATAATAATGCTCAAAATTTTCTAGGCATATTGTTAAAATCTAAGAGTACATTCCTGTCACCGCCCATTGTGATGTAAGTGTGACTCATAGTTGTTTGCACCCATTGTTTCTTGATTCTCGTAAGTAAAGTCTGTGTAGGTGAGTTGAGTTAGGTCTGTGTGAGGTGCTGTGACACACAGGATGGGTGTGAGTTTCATTCTGTGTCCTAAAGAATGCTAATCAAATGAGCTTGTAAGCATTCTGTCCTACCATGAGAGCTAGAGATCAACTACTGTGAAAGTGTAGCAGATGACCTGTTTTTTTTTGTAATGAATAATATTGCTTCTGGGTATCCCTTGAGACATATAAGCATGCTCTTTGGAATTTCAGGCACTTATAATTGCTAAGTATAGACATAAATTGTATTCTATTTTAATATAGTGTGGAATTTGCTTTTCCTTATGCTGTTACCTTTTCTAACCTTCTGTGTCCTCCCTCCCCATTTTGTTAAGCTGATGGACTTGGCTTGTAGCAATCTCATAAATTGACAAACTTCTGTAATGAAAGAGATTATACATTTTATATAGATTTTTGAAGATTTATTTGAATGGCAGAATGAGAGAGAAAATATAATATCCTCTGGTTCACTCACCATATGGTCACAATAGAGGAGGCTGGTCCAGGCTGAAGTAGGGGCCTGGGTCTCCAATGCGGGTTGCAGGGGTCCAAGTACTTGGGTCATCATCTGCTACTTTCACAGGCACATAAGCAGGGAGCTGGACTGGAAGTGGAGCAGCTGGGACTTGAATCAGCAATCCAAAATGGGATGCTGGCATCTAGTGTAGCAAGCTGCAGCTTAACTCATTGTGCCAAAATGCACCCCTCTTTTTTTATTTTTTTAAAGAAAGATTTATTTATTTATTTGAAAGGTAGAGCTACAGAGAGGCAGAGGCAGAGAGAAAGAAGTCTTCCATCTGTTGGTTCACTCCCCAGTTGGCTGCAATGGCTGGAGCTGTGCCGATCTGAAGCCAGGAGCCAGGAGCTTCTTCCTGGTCTTCCGTGTGGGTGCAGGGGCCCAAGGACTTGGGCCATCTTCTACTGCTTTCCCAGGCCGTAGCAGAGAGCTGGCTCGGAAGTGGAGCAGCTGGGTCTCAAACCAGCTCCTAGATGGAATGCTGGCACTGCAGGTGGTGGCTTTACCTGCTATGCCACAGCACCAGCCCCTGGCCCCCTTTTAAATGTTTATTCTTTATTATTTATTTTCATCTACTTGAAAAGCAGAGTGACAGAGAAAGAGAAAGTGATCTTCTGTCTATTGACTCACTCCATAAAATGCCTGCAACAGCCAGAGTTGGGCCAGGCCAAAGCCAGGATCCCAGACTTATTGAGCTCTCCTACAGGGATGGCAGGGGCCCAAAGCACCCAAGCCATCACCTGCCTCCTCCCAGGATGCAAAAACAGGAAGTTGTACTGGAAGCTGAGGTACCAGACATGAACAAGCACTTTGAAATGGGATGCTGGTGTCCCAAATGTCAGTGTAACCCACTGTGCCACCGTGCATGCCCCTGTTCCAGGTTCTTGACATGATGAAATTAGCTGGTAGGCAGGTAGGTGTTATGCATGACAGGGAGCACTGCATGATGGAAACCCTGGAATAGGGAAATGATATGGGAAGCCAGAGGAGGTGAGAGTCTGCCTCTTGACTTTGAGAACATTTTCAAAGAAGACATACTTACTGGTAAATTGAGTTCATTCACTCACTGAGCAGTTATGATTAAAGGTCACCTGCGGCACTGAACACTGAGAAATTAGTGAATTTAACAGATGGAATGTAGAGCTCAAGGGTGTTTCATTTTGTTGGAGGGTCCAGGGAGTCAACACAGCATGAATCAGGTTTGCACCGGCATTTCCCATTTGGGCAATTAGAAGAATATCCAGCTGAAATTTGGTAGATGAATAGGTGGATAGGTAGAGGAGTAGTATGTTATAGAAGGATGTGAAGAAAGGGCAAAATAATATTGGAACATAGATATGCTTGGGGCAGCAGATATAGACCTAAATAGATCTTAATGATTATAAGCATAAATTTACATATGTAAATATACTGTATAAATTAGAGTTTTATTCTCAACCAGGAGCTTCTTCCTAGTCTTCCGTGTGGGTGCAAGGGCCCAAGGACTTGGGCCATCCTCCACTGCACTCCCTGGCCACAGCAGAGAGCTGGCCTGGAAGAGGGGCAACCGGGACAGAATCCGGCGCCCCGACCGGGACTAGAACCCGGTGTGCCGGCGCCGCTAGGCGGAGGGTTAGCCTAGTGAGCCGCGGCGCCGGCAACGTCCTAAATTCCCAAAAGCTGGGGTGAAATCATACCAAAGCCAGAGTGTGCCTTAGCAGTAAGCTGGATCAGAACCAGAGTGGGAACTTGGCATCCCAAGCAGCAGCTTAACCACTAAGCCAAACACCTGCCCCTGCTTTTGTCTTTCTTAAGCACCCAAAAATACGTGGCCTTTTTCTTTTCATAAATTTTCTCTAGAGTCTGGTGCCATATGAATTTTGATAAAATTTGCCTCTTACATTCCTTTTTGAAGTTTTCCCATCATTCTAGTCACATGATTATAGTACTGAATTGGGAGAGATATGTGTAATGGAATAAAGAGTGTGATTTGTTTCATTTAATTGATGAGGTAAAGAAGTATTGATAGCAACATTTTTAGATTCTGAGTTTGGTATTTAGGGTCTTGAGTACTAAAAAGATGACTACTTGAAGAATCAATCCTTAATATTCCTTCATTCTAGAATAACATAACTTACTATTCCAAGCCTTCATTTTCATCTTCATGACAACCATCACACCATCTGGGGATGACTTTGGCTATATGTATTAATAAACCAATAAACAGAGATAACCAAATGTCACTAGTCTTTAACTCAGGCCCCTTTTTTTTCCCCCTTTTCTAAGGAACAACTACCAAAATCACTACAATTCCGATGACTTCCAAACCCAATGTGATTGTTGTGCAAAAGACTACAGGAAAAGGAACGACCATTCAAGGCCTCCCAGGCAAAAATGTTGTCACAACATTGCTAAATGCTGGAGTAAGTAAGAGCTTCAACTGCAGACTCAGCAATCCATTGAGGATTTCAAAGACCAGCTACACAAATATTTGCCTAAGGACTTTAGAACCCCACAATGGCCAGAATGGCTTGATTTACCACTACTGTGTTATAATAACTGTTAACGCACCACCAACTGATGCCATTTTTCACAGTAATATCTAAAACATATTGCTCATAGTTGCTCATAGCTAAGTTGCTTGTGACCATGATTTAGATATTTAGCTTGGTCTGGATGGTGAATTCCATTGGCTTAACTGCAGGGGACTTCTGTTGGAGCACAATTTTAGTTCTGCTTATAGCCAATAAATGCCGGTCTACTAGTTTACCTAGGTTGGGCAAAGAGAAGTATTCAGCGTTAAGACAGATTAATTTAGGGGGGATTTTTTTTTCTTTTTTTCTTCCATTTTTACCTGTTTGAGCTTGTAAAAAAAAAAAAACCAACAAAATGATTCATTTGTTATTCTGAAGGCAGTTGTTAGAAGGATAAGAGGTTTAGAGTTAGACACACCTGGCCTTTGTCTCTTGGTATCATAGTTATTTGACCATGAGTGACCTAGTCACCCTCTCTAATCCTTGATTTCCTCATTTGTACATTGGGGATGATGATTTCTACCAGTGAGGTTGTTCAATAACCTGATCCATATTTTGAAAGCGCTTAGAAGTGCTCAGAACAGTGCCTGGCATGTAGGAAGTTCTTAGTCATTATTTTGTAAATTGTTCTTGGTACTTAACTCTTCAGGCTTGATAGGGCCTCTGACTTGCCTGACTTCACTAGAAAATGGCACAATAGACTTCCTTTAAGAGAATCTCACAAAAGCATCATGGATGTCACAGTCCTTACAATGTTGGGAAGGGTCCAGCATTAGAAATTTTCAACGAGAAAAAAACCTAGGTTCTTCCTACTCTGGATTTACATAGTAAACCAAAAGTAAAGCCAAGATTAAAATTCAGATTTCTGGGACCCTGTACACTGATTTGCAGCTTGATAGGACTAGATATATAAACGATCTTCAAAAAGTTAATGGAAAATTGGAACAAAAATTTAAGTTTATTTCCGTGCAAAAATGGAAATCTACAGTTTTTCATAATATGCATTTTTATAAGAAAACTTTTTGAAGACCCCTTGTATGCATGGATTTCAGAATTTTTTTGCATCAAAATGAACTTTTAATTCTGTTTTCTAAGAACTTTTTGTTTTGTTTTAAAGATTTATTTATGTATTTGAAAGTCAGAATTTCGTAGAAAGAGGGAGAGACAGAAAGAGATATCTTCCATCTGTTGATTCATTCCCCAGATAGCTGCAACATTAGTAAAAGAAGAATATCAATATTAAGATGGTGTGAAACAGGCGTGTGTATCTGTTCTCATTTTTATGTATTTATTTGAGAGGTAGAGTTACAGACAAAGAGAGGGAGAAACAGAGAAAGAGGTCTTCCATCTACGGGTTCACTTCCCAAATGGCCGCAACAGCTGGAGCTGGGCCGATCCAAAGCCAGGAGCCAGGAGCTTCTTCTGGATCTTCCACATGGGTGCAGGGGCCCAAGCACTTGGGCTGTCTTTCATTGCTTTCCCAGACCATAGCAAAGAGCTGGATTGGAAGAGGAGCAGCTGGGACTCAAACCTGTTCCCATATGGGATGCCGGCATTACAGGTGGAGGCTTAGCCTACTATGCCACAGCCTTGTATTCTTATTTCTTGCTCACATGTACATGCCCACAGCATTCATCTGAAAATACCCTGGTGGTTGTATTTTTTCACTTGAATGGGCCATCATACTTGGGAGAGGGCTTGTTGAGCTGTTTAAAACATATTCATGCCACTTGTGAACTAGCAGTTCTTGGCGAATGAACTAGAGCTCTTTCCAGAGGTACAGGTGTGAAGGACATGTGTGTGTTGAAATAAGTAACCTGATGATTGGCAGACACTTCATGCTTCCCTTATTTATAGCAAGTACTTACACTTAGAATTTTTGTAATCGTATACAGCTCGGAATTCAGGGGAACTGTTTTTTAACCTGCTCACCTGGGTGCCTTTTCTTTTTTAAACTGGCTGCCAAGTTTAGATGGCTGCACATTTTGCTGATAGTGGCTAAAACATAAGAAAATGCTAAGATAAAAATTCTCAGATATTTCATTTCCTTTTTAATTTTCTGGATTTTAGTAATTTAGTAAAATCACTGTATTTGAACTTGGTTAAGTTCAAGTAAAAAGATGTTGAGATCATAAATAAGTAGAAATGGTACTTAAGAATAAAGCAAGTGAAAATGCAGAAAATGGTGGAAAGTTATTTGGCTTAAACTATCTGGTTAATCAACTAAAGTGACATTAGTAACATATTGATAGTAAAATACAGGAAATGCTCTAAATTTTTCCTTCCTCTATTCATGTGTAACCTAAGAAAGAACTTTGATATATTTGTTGTTTTCATCTCTTGTTCATACTTTTTCACATAGACAGTCTGCTGTGTAGTCTTTTTTTTTTTTTTTTTTTTTTTAAGATATATGTATTTATTCATTTGGAAGGCTGAGTAATAGAGAGAGACCGATCTTCCAGCCTCTGGTGCACTCCCCAAATGCCTGCAACACCCGGAGTAGGACAGGCCAAAGTCAGGAGCCAAGAATTCCATCTGAGTCTCCCATGTGGGTGACAGGAACCCAGACACTTGGACCGTTATCTGCCACCTCCCACATGCATTAGCAGGAAGCTGGATCAAGAGAAGCAGAGGCGGAACTTGATCCCAGTTACTGCAGTATGATCCCAGTTACTGCAGTATGGCTGTGGGTGTCCCAAATGGTGACTTAACCTGCTGTACCACAGCACCCACCCCATGCTGCTTGTTCTTAAGATTTCATATTTGTGGAACTTTAGAAGTTTATTTTGGATGTATCCTTTTAAGTACTAGTATATTACACAATAATTTTTTAGTTACATAAATATTTCAGAGAAATTAGAAAATAAAGAGCAATCTGGAAAAATAAGATGGTGCTGGAGGGTGGGATTTATAATCCCAACTATTAGAGCTGCCACTGTGAATATTTTACTACCTATGTATATTCCAGGGTTTTCAGTCTATCAATAGATGTATTCTGAAAATGGGACAATATGATAAATATTCTTAAGTGAGATAAGTTTTAAAAAGTTACTCATTAATGGGGCCGGCGCCGTGGCACAGTAGGTTAATCCTCCGCCTGCGGCACCGACATCTCATGTGGGCGCTGGTTCTAGTCCCAGCTGCCCCTCTTCCAGTCCAGCTCTCTGCTGTCGCCCGGGAGGGCAGTGGAGGATGGCCCAAGTGCTTGGGCCCTGCACCCACATGGGAGACCGGGAAGAAAGCACCTGGCTCCTGGCTTCGGATCAGCGCAGCTCTGGCCATTGTAGCCATCTGGGGAGTAAACCAACAGATGGAGGACCTTTCTCTCTGTCTCTCTCTCGCAATGTCTGTAACTCTACCTCTCAAATAAATAAAATAAAATCTTAAAAAAAAAGTTTCTCATTAATAAATAATTATTTGGCTAGAAGTCGGTCAGATAACTTTCTTTTCTTTTTTTTTTTTAAAGATTTATTTATTTATTTGAAAGTCAGAGTTACACAGAGAGAGGAGAGTCAGGGAGAGAGAGGTCTTCCATCCACTGGTTCACTCCCCAGTTGTCCGCAGTGTTCCAGGTGTCCCACGTGGATGCAGGGGCCCAAGGACTTGGGCCATCTTCTACTGCTTTCCAAGGCCATAGCAGAGAGCTGGATCGGAAGTGATGCAACTTGGTCTCAAACCGGCACCCATATGGGATGGTGGTACTGCAGGCAGCGGCTTAACCCACTATGCCACAGCGCCAGCCCCAGTCAGATAACTTTCATTTCAACTAAGTGTAGGATTTTTGATCACCTGTGAGCAGTGAGTTTCGTTACATAATCTACACTGCTTTCTCCATCATCCCAGTAAAATGTTTCATGATTTTTTGGCAAGAGGACAGTTTTTATCATTTAAATGCATATAAGTTTCTAATGTAATCATTGACTTCAATTCAGGGAGAAAAGACTATTCAGACGGTGCCAACAGGAGCAAAGCCAGCTATCATCACTGCTACAAGGCCAATCACCAAAATGATTGTGACTCAGCCAAAAGGAATAGGTTCCACTGTTCAACCAGCCGCTAAAATCATCCCAACAAAAATTGTTTATGGGCAGCAAGGAAAAACACAGGTATGCTACAAGATATGATAATTTTTTTCTTGGCTTTTGTTTTTAAGTTTCTAAAATTCCCAGGTAGAAATTTGAAAGAAAAGCTTATCTTAAAAAAAAAACTTACTAATCTTAAAAAATCATATTATTAGAATTCAGAACTGAATGTATAGTTAATCATCTGTTCTCAAAATCTGTGTGTTTTTCCTCAGTACTTTTTTTGGTATCTAAGTTATTTCTGTGTCATGTTATGAGCAAAGATTAGGGGAAGAATTCCTTCGGAATGAAACTTGCTGAAGGTGTATTTTGTGACTTGAGGAGTACATGGTTGAGGAGAAGATGGTAATTACACAGAACCTCTGGAAAAAAATAGTTTTTATATACTAACATGGCCATCGATAGCACTTTATTTACTTACAAAATTTACTTTTTACTTTACTTGAACCTGTCTAATGGAGAAATCAGTGGTCTGTTCATTTTTAAATCAGTAGGTTACTGTTTGTTTTGTCAGTACTTAAATTGCTTTTCTGAGACTATCAGAGGAAGCAATCAGTATCAGCTTTAGTTAAGAAATGCTACTCTGGCTGGCGCCACAGCTCACTTGGCTAATCCTCCACCTGTGGTACCAGCACCCCGGGTTCTAGTCCCGGTTGGGGCACTGGATTCTGTCCCGGTTGCTCCTCTTCCAGTTCAGCTCTCTGCTGTAGCCCAGGAGTGCAGTGGAGGATGGCCCAAATGCTTGGGCCCTGCACCCGCAAGGGAGACCACGAGGAAGCATCTGGCTCCTGGCTTCTGATCAGCACAGTGTGCCGGCCGTAGCAGCCATTTGAGGGGTGAACCAATGGAAGGAAGACTTTTCTCTCCCTCTCCCTCTCCCTCTCCCTCTCTCTCTCTCTCTCTCTCTCTTACTCCCTCACTCTCTCACTCTGCCTGTCCAAAAAAAAAAAAAAAAAAAAAATGCTACCCTAAAACTTTGCTAAGGATATTAATTTACCTATAAACCAATACTTTGCCATTAGAATCTGTTCCTTCAGAATTACAGCCAAATAGTTTATATTATCTGAAAAGTAAGTTTTGTGATTAGTCCAAATTGCTTGTTTAGTTCAACTATAACAATTTCATTTGCTCCATCATCTAAGACATAATAAAAACTACTATTTCATTCTGGAACTCTTAGAAATGGGTAACTTCATGAAGACTGAAAAGGTTTAGAATCTTATACGGAGTAGAAATAAAAATAATTGTGCTAAAATGACAACTTCATTCCATGGATTCATTTGAAGTCAACTCCTAGATTACAAGTTTTGAAATGGAATGGTACAGTTTGAAATTTTTTTCCCGTTTCACTTGTTTTAGTGTCTGTTTTTGACTTTTGCCAGGAGTTGATCCACTACATATTTCATTGTTGCTTCTGTTACTGTCTAAATTAGTGTTCCTCCAAAAAGTTATTCAGAGAATGCTTAAGTTTCAAGAAAATTTACCTTGCAGATGTGTTGACTAGAATTTCATATGCTTCCTAAAGCAAAGAAACTTGAAGAACAGTGGTATAAGTAGATTAGGGTCTTATTTTTATCATGTTGATAAAATTCAGAGGGAAGAAGTCCTGAACTGATACTGTGGTTCAAAAATTCCATTAGGATACAGAAAGACGGATATTGCATGTTCTCCCTTACATGTGGGACCTAAAATTTTAAAAAAGTCAAGAAACAAAATAAAAGAGAAATGCTTGTATGTTATCAGTTTTGTGGTTATTATTCTACTATATAGGCTACAGGTTGTAAATGACGCCTAATGTCATTATAGGCAAGAAAAAACAGGTGCATAGGTTCACATTAAAATCATGGCTATTACAGACTGGCGTGTAGCACTTAAAACGTAAATTGTGTAACTAATTTTTTTTTAATTTATTTATATATTTATTTGAAAGGCAGAGTTACAAAGAAAGAGACAGTAATATCTTCTATCTGCTGGTTCACTCTCCAAATGACCACAACAGCCAGGACTGGGCCAGGCTGAAGCCAGGAGCCTGGAATATCATCCAGGTCTCACTGTTTTCCCAAGCACATTAGCAGGGAGTGGGATCAGAAGTGGAGCAGCCAGGATATGGATGTCTGCCAACATGGGATGCTAGTGTCACAGGCGGTGGCTTAACCTACTAAACACATGGATGATTTATCTGTACATTGAATTAGTCTTTGATGAGCAATACTTTACCCAAAGCATAATATGTTTATAGAATCCTATCTTGGACGGTGCTGTGGTTCTACCTCTCTCTGTAACTCTTTCAAATAAATAAAATAAATCTTTAAAAAAAAAAAAAAAGAACCCTGTTTTCCCTATCAGGAAAATGCTAACATATTTTAAATAGTGCTTTCCAGGCTGACGCCACGGCTCAATAGGCTAATCCTCCACCTAGCGGCACCGGCACACCGGGTTCTAGTCCTGGTCGGGGCGCCGGATTCTGTCCCGGTTGCCCCTCTTCCAGGCCAGCTCTCTGCTGTGGCCCGGGAAGGCAGTGGAGGATGGCCCAAGTGCTTGGGCCCTGCACCACATGGGGAGACCAGGAGAAGCACCTGGCTCCTGCCATCGGATCAGCGCGGTGCGCCGGCCACAGCGCGCCAGCCGTGGCGGCCATTGGAGGGTGAACCAACAGCAAAAAGGAAGACTTTTCTCTCTGTCTCTCTGTCTCTCTCACTATCCACTCTGCCTGTCCAAAAAAAAAAAAAAAAAAAAAGTGCTTTCCGCTTTTCTTTTAGGTTCTTATTAAACCAAAACCAGTAACATTTCAAGCCACAGTTGTTAGTGAACAAACAAGACAACTGGTAACAGAAACATTACAGCAAGCATCCAGGGTGGCAGAGGCTGGTAATTCGTCTATTCAGGAAGGAAAAGAAGAACCACAGAGCTATACAGATAGTAGTTCCTCTTCTACAGAGTCTTCTCAAAGTTCCCAAGGTAAGATGCATTTTTCTTTTGATTTACACAAGTATAGCTGACATAGTTCCAAATAGAACTTGCTTCTAGGGATTTCAAAACATTCTTATATGCTTTGATTTGTCAGTTCTTTTAGTTTTATTTTTTGTTTGGTGGGTTGATGTTTAATCAGTGAACTGAAATTTTATTTTTGGTGAAATTTACCATTCTTTCCTGCATGACATGTGTTCATCAAATAATTGGTAAACTTGAGGTGATGATTTCATCAGGTAGGTAAAGGTAACTGAATAGAACTGTGCCAATTCCCAGATGGTAGTTTTCGTATTTTTCTTGTTTGATTTGGGTAAGTAGGGAGCGAAGCATGCAAGAAAGTGAGTTCACCTTTGGAAATGGTTGTTGCTGAACCTTGAGAAAGAATCAAGGTGGCCAGAGGCGGCCTGAAAGTGAGCAGTAAGTAGGGTGATCATAGATTGTAGTTTGCATGGCACAAGACCTAGTTTCTATCTGCTGTTCCAGCATAATTCCCTCTCAGAAGTACCCCCAGATAATTGCATGATTGTCCTAATTATAAGCAAGACTCCCCACAGAGTCCTTGGTGCTTTTTAGTTATGCTATTCTTCTGGGAAGGCTCTTGAAATAAACTCATGATCATAGCTTTGAGACCTTCTTTGAATCTAGTATTCATGTCTCTCCGTGATCTTAACAGCCCTTACTGTCAGAGTACAGATTAAGTACCCCTTATCTGAAATGCTGAAATCTAGAAGTAGTTCAGATTTTGTATTGTTTTCAGATCTTGGACTATTTCATGTATATAGTGAGATATTTTGGGGATGGCACCCAGCTTGAACACAAAACTCATTTTCTTCACAAACGCCTAATAGACATAGTCTGTAGGTATATTTTTAGTATGCCTGCATTTTTACTGTGATCCTTTATCACATGATTCAAGTGTGGAATTTTCCACTTGTGACACCTTATTGGTGCTCAAAGAGTTTCAGATTTTAGAGAGTTTTGAATATCAGATTTTTGGATTTGAAATATTCACCCTGTATATTTGTGCCTGTGCTTATGTGCTCAACTGCATGTAAGCAAAACTTTATCTACTCTTATTCTTTCCTCACTCACTTCATTCCTTCTTCCTGTCTCCTCATTACTCTCACTGGAGTGATTTTTTTTTTTTTTTTTAAGATTTATTTATTTGAGAGGCGGAGTTAGAGAGAGAGGTCTTCCAACCACTGGTTCACTACCCAAATTACCCCAACAGCCGAGGCTGGGCCAACTTGAAACCAGGAGCCAGGAGCTTCTTCCAAGTCTCCCACTTGGGTACAAGGGCCAATCCCTTGGGCCATCTTCTACTGCTTTCCCAGGCCATGGGAAATGGCAAGTGGAGCAGCTGGGCTCGAACTGGCACCCATATGGGTTGCTGGCACCATAGTGCCAGACCCAATTTTTTAAAAAGATTTATTATATTTATTTAGGAGGCAGAGTTATAGAGAGCAGGGAGACAGAAAGAGGGAGAGAGGGAGAGAAGGTGAGAGAGATATCTTCCATCTACTGGTTCACTCACCAAATGGACACAATGATCATGTCTGGGTCCATCTTTGTCTCCCATGTGGGTGGCAAGGGCTCAAGCAGATGGTCCATCTTCTGTTGCTTTCCTGGCACATTAGCAGAGAGCTGGACCCAAAGTAGAGCAGTCTGGACTCCAGCTGGCACTTGTATGGGATTCTGGCATCGCAGATGGTGGCTTAACTTGCTGTTTCACAATGCCAGCATCCTCACTTTTCTCATACACATTCTTCATGTGGTACAATCACTTTACTGTTTTAACTCTTCTATAGAGTCTTCCAAGATTAGTTTTACATTGTTCACTTTGCTGATTATTCCATTAATTCACTCTGACAATTACTTATTAGTTTATACTAAGAGTTGTGCTGTTTTCTATAGAGCTTGAGTGAAATATAATTCTTGCCCTCCAGGAGTTTAAAATTTTATAACAGGGGGTTAAAATATATATATACAATTCTAGTATAAGAATTTTATTAATGACAAACAAACAAACAAAATGCCAAAAGCTGAATGTTCACACTGCAGTGAGAAGATTGGAAAGCTTCATGAAGGAGGTGGTAGCATTTAAAATAGTCTTGGAAAATTCATCAGTGAAAAGTAAAGGAAAATGTTGACTTCAAAAGATAAGCAATATGACACTCATTTCAGAATGCACATAGCTCCCTTCAGCACATTATCAATGATAGTAATATTTTGTGAATCAATTTGCTGTCATCCGATGCTGACTATGAATTAGTTTATGTTAGTTAATGGAATGATAGCTGATTCTTCAGTCATTTCTCTTTTTTTTTTCAATTATTTCTTTTGGATCTTTCTGATTTAGTATATACAAATCACATTGTTAATTCAGCCGATTGGCTGCTTTTTCCTCTTTTATTATTTTTGTTTTTATTTTTTTGAAAAACAGAAAGAGACAGATGAAGGGAAATCTTCCATCCTCCTCTGAACAGCCAGGGCTGAGCCAGACACTAGCCAGTAGTCCAGAACTCAATCCAGGTCTCCCTCATTGGTGGCAGGGACCCAAGTACTTGAGCCTCCTAGGGTATGCATTGGAAGGAAGCTGGATTGGAAGCCTGGTAGACAGGACTCAAACCAGGCACTTTGATGCAGAGTATGGGAGTGTTAAGTAATCATAAATTACTTAATTACCATCCCAAACACCTACCCCATTCTTCTTTTAAAATCTGCAGTTTTTGAGTAATATTGATTTTTTTTTTTGCCTGTAAGAAATATTTTCATAGAGTGCAGGTAAGATGTTTAGTTTGTGAATTGATGTTGGAAGGGAGACATAAATAGTAGGTGTCTATAGATTCATAATATCAGTTCATCCTTTGAAATTGTTATTCTTTTTTTAAGGGAGTTGTAAGCCAGTTAGTAGTTTCTAAACATGCTACTTCATCAGTTGAATCTTCAGTTTTTATTGTGAGAGTGGGATAGATATTTGACTTCATATATTTTTATTTGTTTTACATTACTTTTTAAAATATTCTTTAACAGAAAATTTTCATAATTCAAAATAGGCATATCTAATATATTGACAATATAGCAAGTTTTTATAATTTGCATTTGTCCCTCCCTCTACTTCCTGTATGGTTCTTTAATGCATTCTCAAACAGACAAGTACTAGAGATATATATGCTATACTTTAAAGAGAAAGTGGTAGAAGTTTTGGTCAGTCTGATATACTAATTTTTAAATTATATGAGGGCAATATCTACTAGGAAAGTGAGTGGTACATAGCAGTCTTTTTCCATTATATTGCTGTTTTCATAGCTTTTAGCCACCTTTCTGTTTTTTGTAACTTTTCCTTTTGCTATCATTTCTAGCTTGCAGAAAAGTTGCAAGAATAGGAAACAGAACTCCTGAGCATACTCTTTACTCATATTCACTGCTTGTTTGTCTTTTGTCCTATTTGCTTTGTTGTTTATTCTCTGCTGTATGTGTATAATTTTTTAATTTCTTAGCTAGTTGAGAGTAAGTTGTAGATATCGTATTTCTTTACCCCTAAATACTTAACATGAATATTTGTAAGTCTGTATTTATTTATTTATTTGAGAGAGCTACACAGAGAGAAGGAGAGAGAGAGAGAGAAGGAGGGAGGGAGAGAGGTCTTCCGTCTGCTGGTTCACTCCCCAGTTGGATGCAACAGCTGGAAGTGCGCTGATCCAAAGCCAGGAGCTTCTTCTGGGTCTCCCATGTAGGTTCAGGGGCCCAAGGCCTTGGACCATCTTCTGCTGCTTTCCCAGGCCATAGCAGAGAGCTGGATCAGAAGTAGAGCAACCAGGTCTTGAACCGGTGCCCATATGGAATGCTGGCACTGCAGGCAGCGGCTGCCCTAAGTCCATATTTCTTAAAGGGTTTTTCTCTCTAAGATACAATTATCAAAATCAAGAAATTTAATGCTGTTACTATACTATTACTTAATTACCGATATATATTCAAGTATCATCAGTTGTCCAGTAATGTTCTTTATTTTTCCCACCTCCTGGTCCACATTCCAGTTCAGATAATATATTTTATTTAGTTACACTAACAGTCATGGTTCTTTATTCTCCTTGAGTCTGGAATAGTCCCTTAGCCTTTCTTTGAATTTCTTGACCTTGATATCTTTGAAGAATGTAGGTCAGTTACTTTGTAGAATATTCATCAGTTTGATTTTATCTGATGTTTCCTCAGGCTTCGATTCAGATGGGAATCCCACATTTGATGGTAATGTCCTCAGTTTTGTCTTATGAAGAAGTACATGATGTCAGTTTGTCCTAATATTGATGATGTTAATATTGATCACTTGGTTGAGATGATATCGGCCAGTTTTCTTCACTGTGAACTTAGCATATTTTCTTTTAAGATTGATAGTAATTTGTGAGAAGGTACTTGGGGACTATGTAAATTTATTCATCATCAAACTCTGATCTTCCAGTTTTAGCATCCATAGATTATTTTCTGAAGTACATTTTTCTTTGTACATTTAACAGTTGCCATTTTACTCTAAAAATCAACTTTTTCTGTTTTAAAGCTTTATTTATTTGAAAGGCAGAGCTACAGAGAGGCAGAGAGAGAGAGAGAGAGAGAGAGAGAGAGAGATCTTCTATCCCCTGATTCACTCCCCAAATGACTGCAATAGCTGGAGCTGTGCAGATCCGAAGCCAGGAGCCAGGAGCTTCCTCAGGGTCTCCCACATGGGTAAGGGGCCCAGGCACTTGGACCATCTTCCATTGCTTTCCCAGATCATAGCAGAGAGCTAGATCAGAAACGGAGCAGCCAGGACTCGAACTGGCGTCCATATGGGATGCCAGCGCTGAAGGCGGCGGCTTTACCCTCCACGCCACAGTGCCAGCCCCCTCAACTTTTTCTTGACTTGAGAATTTTCTGGTGACTTTGCCTACACAAGACCTGGAATAAGGGTGTCTAATGTCAGCAGGATGCCTTGATTTCACTTGTGGTCTACAGACTCCCTCACTCTCCCCACCTTCCAGAAGGCGGCGAGGCCCCATGCTTTACCCCTGAACTGCCTCCTCACAGGCTCGAATCTTTATCTTTGCCGTGTTATAAGACTGTCTTGATCTACCTGAAAGGGTTCATCCTTCCTCCAAGATGCTTCCAGTACTGAATTGTACTACTGTGTTAATGTGGACCATTTTATTTTGTCATTTTTGTTTGTTTGTTACAATCATTTTCTTCTCTACTAGACTATTAACTTCTCAAGGGTAAGAATCTCACTCATCTCTGGATATCTGACTAGATACTCACTAAAAGTTTCACTGAATGAAAAACTGAATCTTGTGCAACTACGGCAAAGGATTAAGTGCCAGCTGTGTAAATGCAATTATCTTGCCTGACTCCAGAATGTTTTTTTCTTTGGGGTTTCCCCTAGCTGTGTAGTGGGCTTTTCAGACAGTACACACCTGGGCTGTTAGATACTGCTAGAAAGCTAGATGACCCAGCCTGATGGGTCAAGGGCATACTTGCGTGGGCCACTTACTGAAGATTGGGTCATTTGCTTTCCATACATCCTATGCTTTCCTTCTTAAATGGGTCTTCTTTTTTCCTCTTTGTCACACGGGAATGGGCTGAACTTAAAGGATTCTAGATTTATTTTGAAAAAGTATAAACAATTAAATGTGTGCCCTGCCTCATTCTGAAAGGTTTTAAAGTGGGCTAAATGAAAGATTGTATTAAGCAAATTGGATGAGAACAAGGAGACAAAGCCAAGATTGGAACTGAAAATGGAACTAGACATGAGGTGAATGCAGAAGTGCATTTTGTAGAAACATTGCTTTGAGTAGATCATAACCCAGTTTCTAGGATAATTTTTTCATGAAGACTTATGATCTTAGTAGGTCAGAGTAAGGGTGAGAAGTAAATCCAGATTAAGTTTGCTGAACTTTTCAGAGCTGTCATGTGCTAATATGCATTGTGGAAGATGAAGAGCGGAATATATGATGTAAAATGTCCCCCAGCTCTTTTGACCATGGAACCATTCTTTTACAGAACATCTAGAGGAACTAATGTTCTCTGGAACATATTGGGTGATGCTGTCTAGGCAGTTAAATATTGTGAAGGCTATGAGCTTTAGGACAATGCTTCAGAGGGAAGGTACATTCTCCATCATAGAAGGGATATAGACATCTTAGGTTTAGTTTAGAAGGGAGGTTTTATATGGATAACATTTCTGGGAATCATTTTGTATAAGGAATGGCTAGTAGAGGCAGGATTGTTATTAGAGAAGAGAAGATGGAGTGGGTTGGGTCGGGGAAAACATGGGAGCAATTGTCAGTTAGCTTGAGGACCGTGATCTAGAAGAGGAAACCAGTTGGTTTTTTGATGGATACCTGGCTGGACACTATGCCCCTGAGTAGAAGTCCCAGGGAGACCTTTTTCTGTTGGCATAGTGGAACAGAGATGGAAGGAGGTTAGTGAACAAGCAGGCGGTAGTGAGTTCTCTGCTGCTGGAGTTCCCAGGCTGCCAGGGATGTTGTTGTGAAGATCTTAGAATAGGACTGATGCTGGCATTAGGCAAATTTTAAGATTTTTTTTTTTTTCTATCAGAAAAGTCTTAAGATTCTATGAGCATGTGATATAGGTATTTTGTAAAAAAAGACATCAGAGATATTTTTAGAGAGATGCCTAAATCTGCCTTTAGATAGAGTACTGAAGTGTGCATCTCTAGTACTAACATTTTACATGTGTCTAAGAAATACTGGTTAAATGACCTGCGTGGAAAAACCCTTGAGGGGCTGCTTTCCTTAAGCAGGTGGCTCTCGTGAGATCAAGCTCCTGGTGTCCTAGTGATCGCACTCTTTGCCTCCAGGGGCAGACTTGATAGGAAGCAAATTTATCTAGGTCTCAGAATAAGCCAAAAATAGTGAGAAGAGTCAGTCCAGGTGTGGTTTTCACTTCCATTCGCATGCACGGTTTTGTGTCGCAGCTGTTGGGGTTGCTGCAGTGGTGTTTTGCTTTGTCTGAATATGGACAGAAGAAAGCAGAACACTCCCCCTAGCCTGTAAGGGGTGATGTTATTTGCGGTGATGGTCTCTGATAGGTGCTCTCATGTGGAAATTTGCTTTCCTTTTTCCTATTTCTGCCTTGTCTCTACCAACACAATCTCTGCTTTCTTCTAGATAAATGTGTCTCAGGGAATTAGACTGTGAAGTCACTCTTTGCCTATATTATCATGAACATTTCTAAGGTTTGCATAGACGTAATGACTAATGAGTTCCCTTACGTTTCAGTTCTACGTGTCCACTTAGGATGAACAGAGAATAATTGTTATCTGCTTCATATGGCACCTGGTATTGCAGGATGGTGTCCTTTAGCTCTCTGCTGTTTGTTTGCTTGTTTAAGTTTAACAGAAGTTATACATCCCTAGTGTGGTATTCTACTCAGTGTTTTGGTGGGGAAATAGATCACCAATTCTAGTTAAGTACAGTATATAGTTGTGTTTTTTTTTTTTCCTTTAGGAAGATTGTTTTGTTTGAAGAGTTCCTCTTCTCTTCCCAATATTTTAGGTAAATTTGTGGCTTTCAAAAACATTTGGTTCATAAAGAGTTGGACTTTTCTGTAGTATTTGTTTTTGTTTTGGAGCTACTTGAATTCTTATCAATTTTCTGTATGCTTTTACTGACCATCCCAATTCAAAGCAGTCCCTTGTTTTCTATATATTTGCCTTGTTTGTCCTAACCATTTTATATTTACCCTAAGATAAAAAGTCATACATCTTCATTTTATGTTTCCCCTGTTATAATTTCAATTTGAGAATAGGAATCACACCTTTGTATCTTCCACACTTTCCATGTGGTAACTTGGGCAGGAGAGTTTAGGAAGTTAGCAGTGGTTTAGTCTACGCTTCTTATTTTGTAGATGGAAAACAATAATTAATTTGTTGCTTGATCTCATGCACATTTAGTATTTACTTGCAAACCTGTACAACATGAATATACTATGCCTTGAATGAGGGCTGTAATTTTCTTTCAACCTAACAAAGAGTCCTAGAGTGGAGCACAGTAGTGCTTCTGTTGTCCCTGATAGTTTATTCAGCTTATTTACATTTATCACTTCATTGTATCCTCAGAAATCCCGTGAAGCTAAGAGATGATTTTTTTGTTTCATTTAAGAAATAGTAAAGCTAAGACTCAAAGAATCAACCAGCTAATAATTCATAGAATTGGGATTATGACCCAAGACTTGGAACTCTACATGTTATAGTATTCTGTTATAGTATTCTGCTTCTAGGTCCTCAGATAAGATTTCCTCTCAGTATGTTCAGGCTGTGTTACAGAACACATTTTCTGGTGTATTGGGGGAAAATATAACTCCTACAGCATTTTGTTCTTATTATACACAAAGCACTCATCTACACTTATGCACACCTATTTATATAACAATTACCCCACTGAACGGTAACTTGTCTTTTTACATGTTTGTCTCCCCAACTAGACTGTGTGCTTCTTGAACATCCTCTGGTTATTCTGTGAGCACCTTTATATCTTTGATGACAAATGTAGATTCTGACACATAGGTGTCCAGTTTGTGGAATTAACAAATGGATGAATAAGTGAATTCAGAAATAAAGACATTATAGCCTCTGGGGCTTACAGTATTCTTGGGGAGATAATGCATGAAGTTTACAATAAATACAAAGATAAAACAAAACAAAAAAACAAATTGTTTTCTTTAAAGAGAAACTTTGTTTATAGGGTTTGTTTTTTCTTAACTAATATAAAACAGATTCCCAGCCTGTAGTTCATGTAATTGCTTCCCGGCGTCAGGATTGGTCAGAACATGAGATTGCAATGGAGACTAGCCCCACCATAATTTATCAGGATGTATCCAGTGAATCACAATCAGCTACTTCAACAATCAAAGCTCTGTTAGAACTCCAACAGACAACAGGTATGAATTCACATGCTCAACTGAGTGAAGCATGTTTTCTCTAGAGATGGGTTGTGCTAAAATACTACCACTGTTAGATATTTTTTGCCATTATTTGAGCACACTTTGCCCCTCTGGACTTGTTGATAACCATTGGTACAGTTTGTTTACTTGTTAACTCATTAAGATGTGCACAGGAACACTGAGGCACTGACTGGCCCCAGTCAGTAGAAGAGAGAGAAAAAAGGTTGTGCCCTGCCCTCTTTGTCTCCCGCTTACCGTGGACAGTCCTGTTGCCTCTAGCCAGCAGACCGGAGTAGGTCCGTCACTTCTCAACACAAAAGGAGATGCAGAAGGTTGCCATGTGCATCCAGGACTAACGGGAGGCAGGTCAGAGGGCCCTGCCATCCTCCTGGGTGTTGGAGAAGCAGTGTTGTGGTCAGAAAGCATTGTAAGGGCCCTTTCCAACCTTCTCACTTGTTTAGTGTCAGATTTATTTCTGTGTAGATTAGCCACTTGAGCTTCCATGCAAAGCTGTCCTTATTTGCTGAGATCCTATCATTATTTCTAGTTACTAAATATTTTTGATGAACTCTAGAACAAGCCTGTCTAAATTATACTGATTATTATATTAGGTCAAAGATTGTCAGAGTATATATCACGCAACCCTTTCATTTTATGAATAAGAAAACCGAGATCTAGAAAGTTTACCCAGTTGGTTAGTGACAGAGTGAGACTCCACATCTTTGGATTCCTAGTTCAATGTCCTTTCTACTTGTGGGGTGACTTTTATATTTATCTTGTTTTGTTTTGCTGTCTTTGTTTAAATGATTGCTTTAATTTTGTCACATTATATATTTAGTGGGAATGATCATTCAGAGGGCCTAGTTAATAGTTACTCTATATTGTAGTGTCCATCTATACTACCCAAAGAGTACTGTCATTTAATATAAGTCTTTGGTTAATTCTTTTATTGGTGTTATTATTTTTTTTAACCTTAGGCATTTCCTGAGCTCCATGTCTTTGACAAATTGCCATTTCTGGTAATGCCTCACAGAGGTGAAAATTTTGAATAAATAGATTTTGCAGGAAAAGTGATAATAAGATAGAAAGGGAGTTTATTCAGGGAAACCATTCTTGATTCCAGACATTTTATCTTAAGTTTTTGCAGAAAAAGAAAAACAGTCTTTTCTTCATGCACAAAAAATTTTATTCTTTAAGAGTCATTGAACACATTATAACATTTCTTTGGAGATAATCTTGAATTTTTAATAGATGAAATTAAACTGGTGACTCTGTTGTGCTCTTCTGGGTAGCTGTGCCCTGGAGCAAACCATGCTGCATACTGCTTAAAATCCTGTTTTTAGGTTGGCGAACTAAAGACTACCAGGGACTAACTTAGAAGGGGAAAGAAAGCACCCTAGGGGAAGTGTGTACCAGGGAAATACCCAGTGGTTCAGCCTGAGATAATGAGCAGAAGGAAGGAGGAATGTTAGTGTGATTGCATGCGAGTCCTTCTTGCTGGTCGGCAGGTGGCTGTACAGGTTGTGTCCGACACAGCCACATGCGGCAGTCTGCCGTTTCCTCTTCAGCTCACTGTCTCCTTAGTCACGGCCAGCAGGGCACCCCAGAGGTCTGGTTCATTATTCCCATGGATAACTCTGGTTTGGGTACTTGTTTGTAATAGAGGTTAATGTTTCCCTTGACTTTTTTATTCAGTAAAGGAAAAATTGGAATCTAAACCACGACAACCCACTATTGACTTGAGCCAAATGGCAGTGCCTATTCAAATGGCCCAGGAAAAGAGACATTCTCCTGAGAGCCCGTCCATCGCTGTGGTGGAGTCAGAGCTAGTTGCTGAATACATCACTACTGGTAGGTGTCCTCCTAAAGTATAGTATTAAGGTGGGAGAGCTACCCCTCTAGATTTCAAGGGATAGTTGCTTGGGGGAGACTATATCCATTGTATTTCTACCTCTTTCCCCATTTGTTTTCAGAGAAAATTCACATCATCCTTGGGATTTACTCTTTCTTCAGTGACTAGGGAAAAAGTCAATAGAATGTTATAAAGTTGGCAAGTAAACAGCATCTGTGAATATAGGGCAGCACTGGCAGGGAGAAGATAAAATGTCTTCTTTCTACGAATAAGTGTTTATGTGTCTGGATATTTTAGTGTTGGAGAAGGTAGGTTAAGGGAGAAAGAAACTGTAAAATCCAACTTCCTTTTTTGAATGTAAAGAAAATAATATGGAATACCTTGAATTCCTCTAAGTATTAAGGAGTTGTGGTGGCAAGCAGATTAATTGTTTGCTTGAAATGTGGTCTGACAGCAAATGCTAGTGAGATTTTTGGATGGCATATGTGGAGAAGACAGACAAGAAGGATAATAGATTCTTTCACTCTGCTGAGACCACACCTGGAATGCCACCTTCTGTTTTGAGTGCTTCATTACCTTGAGATTTAGGATGGTTCTAAGGGCAGTTATGTGAATCATGATGGAGTTAGGAGAGATGGCTTGTGAAGCAACACGGAGAGAACGCCTCCTGTTTTTTCTTAAGCCCTGATTAAAGGAGAATATAAAATTATAATTATTTGAAGGATATAATGAGATACTATTAAGACCAACAGATTAAAATTACCCAAAGAGAAAATCTGGTTAAGATTATTGAAAGCCATCTAGAATCTTTTTTTTAAAAGAGATATTTAGCCAAAAGTTAGTTAAAACAGAGGCCAATGTGTTGGAGAACTCAGGGTTTGGTTTTGTTTAGTTTTGTTTTTTTAACCCTCTGGGGTTAAGCTAGATCATAACATGATGATTAGATGAAAAGACCTGTGATTTCTCCCCTTACTTATCCTTTTCAGAACGCACTGATGAGGGAACAGAGGTTGCTTTTCCCCTTCTAGGTAAGTGGTGTGCATCCATTTGTAGTGTCATTGAAGGTAAAAGATGATTGTGTGGGGGAACCACTTTAAATGGATGCGCTCTACTCTGATCTGGTAGAGGAAAGGTAAGCTCCACTTAGTGAAAGGAAGAGAGATTTTTTTTTTCCTGCACAGTAGTGAGATTTTTTTCTCAGAAATGAGCAATTTGATGCTGGGAAAAGTAGGAGTTATTTTCAGCAATAAATGACTGGTTTACAGTATTGCTGTGGACCAGTTAAGGTCATATCCACTGTTCTCCATATGTTCACCCTTTGACCTCTCACACTGTCTCCACCTATCATGCCTGCAGCCCTATTGTAATTTTCTTTAAAGTCAGCTGCCTTGTATCATTTTTTAGTGTGTGTTAGTTTCTTGAACTTTCCAGAACTCTGGGGAATTACTATGAAAACATTTATAGTATCTTGAGGGAGGATGATCATTAAATAGTTTTAGTTGATCTTCTTAAGTCCATTTCATCTCTTAATAATTATGATGATTAATTTGGGTAGCTTCCATTTTTAAAACTTCATTAATTTGTTGTCTTTATTTTAAAGTCACTATAATTTGTTTTTTTTTCTCCTGCTCAGTCATATTGTCAGTAATTTCTAAAGACGTTTTAATGTAAACCCTGACTCTTTTTTTCCAGTTCGGTTGAAAACATGGAAGATTTTATTAAGTTGTGTAATTTAAAATGTACATATAAAGCATACTGAGAAGTACCATAAGGTACTATAGTACATTTACAAAATCCTGGTGATGCTGCCTGTAACCTCATTTCACAAGGAGGCATCTGCATAGCACCAATAAAAACAAGGTGTTTGTGTATTTTCTTTGTGCAGTATCACCCTGACTAAGCTGTAGGGCTGTGAGACAGTGTCACTGCTTCTGTTGTTTGCATTGCATTTGGAATAGGGATCAAGAACTTATAGAATTTGTTTTGCTTTACTCAAAGATGTTAGGCTAGGGTTTCAGATTTGCTTGCTTTGATAAAAGTCATCTGAGAAAGTGAGTGCAAGTCACAGGAGGATGTAGCTTTAAGGGGTTTGTCCCTGCATTGTGACGAAAGTTTTCACAGTGCTTCCGCAGCCATTTCTCATCTCATTTTTGTAAAAACTCATTTATTTCCATGAGCAAACGGTCCTAGAGGAGATAAGAAGCTTGCTTAGAGTCACACACCTCATTAGAAGGGCAGGTTTCCATCTTTGGCCCCTTGGCTCAGAACACCGCGCTTTGTGGTGCAGGCTCACAGCCGTTGATTTAGAATGACTGCTGGTTACAGATGTTGTCGCAGTTTCCAGAGAAATATGAGCACCTCTTCTGTTTTCAGTCAGCCACCGCTCCCAGCCCCAGCAGCCCTCGCAGCCCCAGCGGACCCTGCTCCAGCACGTAGCCCAGTCGCAGACCGCGACGCAGACGTCCGTGGTGGTGAAGTCCATCCCAGCGGCTTCTCCCGGCGCCATCACCCACATCATGCAGCAGGTTGTGTCTCTTCTGTTTCTGCTTTTCTCTAGAGCCTCAGTTCGGAAATAAGATTCAGTTTCATCTCCTGTTTTAAGAGGAGAAATAACTGAATTGTTGATTGTTTGTTTAATTCTTTCATCTGTGAGGAGTAGAGGAAATGAATTGAGGGTCTTAATAGCAGAAAATAATTAAGAAACCATATTCTTTAATTTTTTGTGAACTGCTAGCATTTCAAGAGGGTGGGGCTGTTTAGAATGAATCTAATGACATCAGAATTGGTCACCATTTCTGTGTATTTTGTTCTTTTCGAATAATTTGTCATCAGAGTAAAAAAGAAGTGCAAAGAAAATAGCTATTTGCTGCTAGGTTTGTTTTGGTTGGTTTTCTTGCTTTTATAATGAATTCTCATGGGAACATTATGAATAAGTAGGAAAATGAATATTTGGCTTCTTTAACTTGATGTGACCCACTAGGGAGGAGGAGATTCCTCAGGAAGGAGAATGAGCTAGTACAAAACAGAAGTATCTGTTTTAATATCTGGGGGATAGGGAAAAAGAAGAATATGTGTATGAGCTGGTTTTATGTCAGATACTGTGCTTTGAGCTTTAAGTACGTTAACTTGTTTCATTCTCACCCTGATCCTCAAGGTGGGTGCATTATCCCTACTTTACAAGTGAGGAAACCCAAGCTCACTGAAGTTAAGTAACTTGCCCCAGGTGGCAGAGCAGGACGTAAGCCCAAAGTGAACTGCCTCTGTTGTATACTTATAGTCTGGATAGCAGATTTACGCATGACTTACTCTTCAGTAGTAACGTAAATCACCATCACTCAGCTGGTAGCCTTTGGACCAGCTGTAGGCGCAGCTGTAGGCACACCGTCTGAAAGGTGAAGAAATGTTGACTTAAAAACCTGTATGTGTAAAATCATCATGCAGTAGAGGAGGATTCTAGCTAAATCTCAGAATGGGGAAGTTTTGAGGCAGTGGGAAGGATGGAGATAGCACAGATCTTACTGTGTCACTGAGGGAAGCCAGCTGGGCCGATGTTTTGCTGGGTGACAGGTCTCAGCCTGGAGTCTGGCCCTTACCTGGCAGGTCCTGACCTTGACCTTTCTCATGACCCCTCAGAGGTCAGACAGGCTGGCCTGATGGCGCCTCCTCCTCCCACTGTTAGAACTGACACCAAGCAGTCTCCCTCCCAACGGTCACCTCCCCAGTCTCCTTCCCTCCTGGGAGCCAGGTCTCTAGGAAGCTGGGGTGGGGGTAGAGGATGTTGGAATCTGAGCCACAGGCCTGGGAGGAGTAATTGAGAGAGTGGTGGTTCCCGCAGACCTTGGTGAAGCCTGCAGGCCCACCACCACCTGCCAGGGAGGCCCTCTATGGGGTCTTGGGTGGGCGTGTCTCAGAGACAACACCCCTCAGCTTCCAGACATGGCCACAGGGGGCCTCTCTGACCGGCAGCTTTTTTCTGGCCACTTCACTCCTTGGTAGCGGCATTCTTGCTTTAGACAGATCGGCGTCTCCTGCAGAGCTGGGGCAGCTACTTCCTGAGCCAGGGAGCCCTTCTCTTCTCTTTCTGTGTTGGGCTGTGCTTGGAGGGCCATCGTATTCCTCTAATCTGTGAGATCTGGGCCCTGTAGTAGTGAGTAGACCAGTGTTTGGAGTATTAGTGTCTAAGGGTTGAGATTACAAGTTTCTATCTAAAAGCCCCTTTTAGGTTTCTTGGTCTTTTTAGGCGCTTTTAAAAAGTGTTGACTGAATCTCTTAAACAAGTCTTTTCCAGTTTGAGGAAAATGTAGCAATGTAGGTGTTTTTCTTATTTCATTCTTACTTTGTGCCTTTTTTACTTAGGCATTAAGCAGTCACACTGCTTTTACCAAACACAGCGAGGAACTTGGAACTGAGGAGGGCGAGGTTGAAGAGATGGACACTTTAGACCCTCAGACAGGTCTGTTTTACCGATCTGCCCTGACTCAGTCACAGTCAGCTAAACAGCAGAAACTTAGCCAGCCCCAGCTGGAACAGACTCAGCTGCAAGTGAAAACTCTGCAGTGCTTCCAGACTAAACAGAAGCAGACCATCCACCTGCAGGCAGACCAGCTCCAGCACAAACTCCCGCAAATGCCCCAGCTTTCCATCAGGCATCAAAAACTCACCCCTCTCCAGCAAGAACAAGCACAGCCCAAGCCAGATGTACAGCACACACAGCATCCCATGGTGGCCAAAGACAGGCAGCTTCCTACCTTAATGGCACAGCCCCCGCAAACTGTAGTACAGGTGCTGGCAGTGAAAACCACGCAGCAGCTCCCTAAACTGCAGCAGGCTCCGAACCAACCAAAAATCTACGTGCAACCCCAAACCCCCCAGAGCCAAATGTCGCTCCCAGCTTCGTCAGAGAAACAGCCGGCAAGCCAGGTAACGGAATATTGATAGCATGCAAAGTTAAACTTCTCTGTTCACGGAAAAAAAATGAGAACATCACGGCCCTTTCATGATAGCGGTGCTTTCTCCTGGCAAGAGGAAACCCAAAAGCCTCATTACGCTGGGGTTACTTTGCCCCGTCAGAAGGTTGACCTTAGGGAAGAAATGCACGCATTAACCTAGGAGGAAAAAAAGCGTAGCGCTCAGAACTTGATTTTCCAGGCAGTTTTTAATGAAATCACTTCAGCATTGACCGACAGTACGTAGAAGCGAAATCCCCGAGTTACGTTTTTTTTAAGTATAAAATATTTATTTCAATGCCTGTGAACTCTCTGTTTCTGTGGCAATGAGACTTAAGTAAATCGCAGTATTTTAAGGAACTTTATTGACATCTTCCTTTGTAGTTTCCATCATCGCCATCTAGTTAATGCATCATTTATCTTCTAAATTTATGTTCTAGATTGCCGAGGAATTATGTAGATTTTTGGAAGAAAAATTATTTTAGAAAAATCAGTGACTTGAGTGATATATGTGTGTATGTGTATACCATAAATGCATATTTAGAGAGAATATGTTTGTATAAATGTATTTTGAAGCAAAAGATCGAAACAAAAGCTTTTTATTTTAAAAAGTTGAAGATTATATGACATAACTTGAGCCAGGTTGAAGATATACTGTGTGGGGATATAAATCCTAAAGGAAAACTAGGCTGCTGGGACTCTGTTTTTCCTTTATTGCTATAAACCTTGGCCGGCTGAACAAAGGTTCTTTCAACCCTTCTCTTTCCCTAGGTTCCTTAAAAGTAACCAGGTCCTTCCCATCCAGCCCTCTTACTGGAGCACTGAGCTTCAAAATGCCTCCCTAGTCTACTGCCCTAGTATACTGCACGAATGTTTCTTTTGCCATGCTGTCTGGGGTGTTGGATTAGGTTTCTTCAAAGAGATGTAGCTATAACACACACAACCCCAATTTATTTTCAGGTGGAGCAGCCAATTATAACCCAAGGATCCTCTGTTACAAAGATAACTTTTGAGGGGCGCCAGCCTCCCACAGTTACAAAGATAACTGGTGGCAGCTCCGTGCCTAAGCTGACAGCACCAGTTACAAGCATATCTCCCATTCAGGCCTCTGAGAAGACAGCAGTGTCAGACATTTTGAAAATGTCTTTGATGGAAGCTCAGATTGATACAAATGTAGAGCATATGGTAGTGGATCCCCCAAAGAAAGTTCTTGCCACTAGCATGCTCACTGGTGAAACAGGATCATTACCCTCCACCCACATGGTGGTGGCAGGGATGGCGAATTCCACTCCCCAGCAACAGAAATGTAGAGAGTCCTGTTCAAGTCCATCTGCTGTTGGCCCTCCCCTAACGACAAGGAAAATCGATGCACCAGGAGTGCCTCCGACAGGCCAGTTCATGCGTATTCAGAATGTAGGCCAAAAGAAAGCTGAAGAGAGCCCCGCAGAAATTATCATCCAGGTAAGAATCGAAAGGAAAATGAGAAATCATGGGCACCTTGGGGGTTGTGGGTTTGGTATATTTGGGGATGTCACAGGAAGAGTGAAGCCAAGATGGCAAGAAGACACAGAGATTATCTTTGAGACAGCGTACGACAAATTCGCCTTAATACTTATTACAGATAAGCAAATTTATTTATTTTCTGGAGGAGAATCAGAAAATTGATGGATGTTGTCACACAGCACACTGTAGAGGCAGTGGAGGGCCCTGAGCCCGTGTGTCAGCTTGATTTTTAAGATGCGAGCCATACCTGCCAGTGTGCTGACTCAGCAAGTCAGCCTGGAACACTAGCAGTTTCCTGGGTTCAAATTTTGGGCTTCTCAGTCTTTGGTCGAAGAATCTTGGAATATAACTGGATTGCACAGGGACTCTCCTTGGAAAAACAGTTCTGTTCTTGATCTAAATTTGTGGTTCTTAGAACAATCAAACCTCAATTAATTGGAATGTTTGGAGAAACATGTTCTGTGGGGATATTTCTAAGTAATTTAATTGTGTAATTTAGGATTAACCATACACTTGGCTTTTTGTTTCAATTGCTATTTTAAAAATCCTGTTATGGTTATTGTCACACCTTGGTAAGTACAGGCTAGTTTAACATAATGGAAGTATCCATAGTGGAAATATCCATAGATCTTCCTACGCCTCACATTCCTTTCATTCTGAAAGTCATCTGTCATCACACATGATAGACCAGGTTGAAGAGTTACTGAGTCTAGGCTAGCCTTTGGGAATTGTGTTTTTTTTTTCTCTCTCTCTCTCTTCCTCTCTGTCCCCTAACCCCCATTGATATTTTGTTGGTTTTTTTTTTTTTTGACATTTTGTCTCTTTTTTTTTTTTTTCTTGCTAAACTGGTACTTTGAAAAGTATCAGGACAGCATAACTTAGTTAACTGAGAATTTGGATTTATTGAAATATGGAGAGCCTAGGGTTTGCCATAAGTTCATTGTGGTCTGACTTGAAAGTTCTTATTGTAAACCAGTGTTAACCCAGTTCAGGTAGATTTAATTGTGAGGAAATGTAGAAAGGCCAGTAGAAATAGCCATCGAACTATTCCAGTAATTTGTTTCCTTCTGCAAAAACAAATGGTAGTGAATTAAATAATTATGGACAGAAGAATTTGTTGTGATTTGTAAAATTTTGCCCTGAAGAGGTAGGGTACGAGGGAAAGTGAGTGGTTCCCTGGCTGTGTGGCTTTGGGCAAGGCTGCTTAACTTCACCCTGCCTTAGTTTCCTCATCACTGATGGGAACAAGAAATGCCTGCTTTATAGGATTGAGGTAAGGGTGACATGAAATTAAGCACCTGGCACAGTACCTGACTCATAGGGATTGTCTAATAGGTGACCATTTTTACTCAAATTCACTGTGGCTACTAGGGATTTAGATTGGTATTCTCAGTGAATTAAAGATTATTTTGGATAGCTTATTTGGAAAGTATTTTTCTGTATTATGAACAGGAGTGAGGATGTAATTTGCTTTGAATCCAGGATGGTAGCTAATAAACGGGTTCTGTGCAGAAGTCGGAGCGAACTTGTAGCACGTCCCATGTGCTGGGAGTGCTGTGTCAGAGGGAGGCAGCAGAATGATAAGAACCAAGGTTTTGGAGTAAGAGATTCCTTGATTTTGATTTCCACTTACAATCATTCCGTAACAGCAGGTAACAGGCTTTAGGCAGCTGAGTTGACCTCTGTGCTTGTTTCTTTACCCGTGAAATGGAGACAGTAACAGCTGTCTCACAGGGTGGTACTGAAGATGAAGTGAGCAAATGTCTGTGAAGCGCCTGGTCAGGCGTCTGAACCAGAGCAACACTCCATACAGCTGACTCCCGTTGTCCTACGCCTCTCTAGTGTACTGTTAGAATACTTTCAGTTCTTACCGTTTGTTTTTAACTTTCATCTAAATTGCTGATTTTCCTGATTCAGTAAAATACCTGTGGGAATGAGTGGGGGAACACTGAAGGGCTTTGATTCCCTGAAGAATATTCTATAAAAATTCAGTGTGCTTGATATGAAATACTTAGGATGAAAAGTATTGTTTTGAGTAAATAGAACATCTGTATTTCATTCATTCTTTCACTCATTCATTCCATGTGTGTTATTTAACTGCCATGTTCCAGGCATTGTACTAAGTGCTGAGGTTGGGTAATAAACAAGATGGATATATTCTTCTATCTTGACAGAGAATTCATAGATTCTTAGAACTGGAAGAATCTTTAGAGCATATCTCATTTAACTAATTGATGTTATAAGATTAAGCTAAGGCTAAAAAAGTGGAGTGACTTGCTTAAGAAACCCACAGCAAGTCAGAGCCAGAGCTGAATGAAAATCTAGGTCTTTTTACCCCATCTAATACTTTTTCATAATACTCAACTATATGAAAGTTGGGGAGAAACAAACAAAACTCCACTACCCTCAAATCAATGCCTGGGCATCTGTGTTTTTCTTGGCAATGGTATAATTAAATTTTCACCTCCTCCCCAGTAAAAGATTATTTTGGTCAGGTGTGTTTACAAAGTGCTGACATTCAACTTTGTTCTGAGGTTTTTAACAATGTAGCATTCGTGTTATCAACTATTTAGTGAGCATCTCAGCCCTTCTTCAGGGTTCTGGGCATCAACAATGACTAAGATAATCAAGATCTGAGTTCTGTTGGTACTGTCTTAAAGCTTAAGTTTCAAGGGTGAAAGCAATTTACCAAGCAGATGATAACCACGAGGAAGGGAATGAAGCAGTGTAATATACATGTAGGGTGTAATACTACTTTGGGCTGGGGAAGGAAGGCTTCTGTAAGTATTTGTGCTGAGATGCAGATGATAGGGTAGGGCCAGCCTTGCAAAGTATTCCCGGAAGAGGGACAGGCAAGTGCAAATGCCCTAAGGTACAAGTGAGTTTGGCATGAGACTGGAGCCATGGTAAGGAATTTAACAAGGCAGAGTGCCCCTAACGTCATTCCCAGTAGGTGCTGAGGCCCACACTGGCTGCTCATCTGCTGGGTGTTCATGGTTTAAATGGCAAGTTTTAGCCTCGGTTGTTCCTCAGTGCCTTTACTGCTCTGATTTTCAATATGGATCACTGCAAATCACTTCCCCTTTGAACCACCAAGAGGCTTAAAACATTCTGTGATGTCAGCAAATTAATCATCTTGTAGATCAGAAAAAGAAAAATTTGGGCAACGCTTACATATAAATTTGCTGAATGATCAAATGAAAATACTATTACAAGTCTGCCTCCTGAGTTAAGTAGCCTCCTTTGTTAAAAGTAGCCATAAAGGGTTAGAAAGGTCACTTTTAGTTGACTAGACTTGGGTTTGAATACCAGCTTTAACCCTGACCAATTGTGTGACCTTGATTCATTCCTCACCCTCTCGGTGTCCTATTTGTAAGCCGGGAGTAGCAGTTTCCCAGTGGCTGCTGTCATAGGGAGTAAGTGAGGTGTCCTGTGTAGAAGTCCCCAGCAGAGTGCCTGGCATGTCATCTTCCCATCAGTGTCCGTTTTCTTTTCCCTTCCTTGGTGTTACTGGGGGAAGTCCTTCGCTTTCCCTTTCTTACCATAAAGAGGCTCTCCTGTGTCTTCTCTTCCAGGCCATCCCCCAGTACGCTATTCCTTGTCACTCCAGCTCCAACGTGGTCGTGGAGCCCAGTGGGCTTCTCGAGCTCAACAACTTCACCAGTCAGCAGCTGGATGACGACGAGACAGCGATGGAGCAGGACATAGACAGTAGCACGGAGGATGGAACGGAGCCCAGCCCCTCTCAGAGTTCTGCTGAACGGTCCTAGTGTTTTGGCCACAGGAGTGTGCACTTTAAAACCTGCTTGGTTACCAAGTGTCCAGGGAATCGCATATCTTGATGTCTGAAAAAGCACTTTGCTCATACTTGGGCTGTGGACCCTGAAATGGTAGTGTTTCAACAAGATATTGCTGCAGGAGCAGCATTTTAAAACAAGACAAAACTCACAGGGGAATGTACTTTTTTAAAAAAATAAAATAGAAAAAGAAAAAAAAAAGGCAAAAGAAAAAGATGCACATCTACAGTGACTTAAAAGCTGATATTCTTTCTCTGTGGGACCGGGGCCGATGGAACAGTTCTGTTTGGCAATGGAGAGACTTTTCCTGCGAATGTTCCTCAGCTGGTTTCCACTGAGCAGAATGCCATCACAAAAGGCGAATGTGAATAGTTTGTATTTTGAAATGATGTGACAAGAACAGGTTTTTTGTTTTTGTTTTTGTTTTTTTTTTTTAAAGAATCTTGTATGTTTTTTGCAAATCCCTGGAAGTGTTGAATTGGTTCACATTTTACATTTGCTCAGCTTATAAATAGCTAGAAAATACTGGCATTAAAGGATCCTGTTGGATGGTGGCGATGAGGTCCCTGCTCAGTGGGAAGTGCTGTCCGGGCGCTGTGCTGTGTATTCTCCTCAGTTGTGTGCTAATTTATTGTGTTGTTGTCCTTTGTGCTCCAGGCCACACACTGGTCCTCTATTTATTTAAGTGTGAACATTTCACAACAGGCCGTGTGCCTTCTGACAGATTCCTTGTAAACCAGGAGCATCTACCCTCTCCACCTCCCGTCTTTCTCATCCCTTCGTGTAGGAAAACTTACTAGAAAATGTTTCACTGTGAAGCGGAGGAAAAGAAACATTTTCTGGCCCAAAGGAAATGTTCAGTTATGTTAAGGAGGAAAGATTATTCGTTCATATGATGCTTTCTTAACATTGAAATTGCACATTCATGTTGGACTGAGATTTTGCAAATAACGTTGACATGCTTTGGTTTAAGCCCCTTGAAATGTATAAAAAGTTCATTTACAGTTCCAAATGTAATGTTTTTCAGCATTCTACCTTGTTAGGACACAGTTTGTTTAAGCAATATGTTTTGGTCCTGTGAGCGCCGTCTCTCCCAAGTGAAGGGCAAAGGGTGGGGGGGTAGGAGTGAGCTCTGCAAGTTGTGGCAAAGGAAACTAGACTTTCCATTTTTAAAAGTGTAAATAGACAAGTTTTTAACGGTTTTATATAGATTTCACTATAAATAAGCATTTTAAGACTGACAGATGTTGAACTGTACATACGTATATCAGCATAACTGCCCAATTTTTTGGTGCTGAAGTACTGTAAGTAATTCATCAACAGTCTCCTGATTTTTGCATCTACATCCGGAGAAGAAAGCTGTGATACTCTAATAAATGTCCACTAGAGTGACACTGAAGATTTAAACACAAGCATTTGTAAGATGCACCGATCATTGGTGGTTGCCAGCGTTTCTACTGGGTGATAGTGACTTACCCATAGATGGAGCTGTTGGGTATTATTTTATTGTACAAATTCATGTTTAAAAGCTTTGTGACTGTTTCTAGCTAGGTCATTTTTTTAATCTTCTCTTGGGTCATAGACTTATTTGAAACTCTGATTAAACTATGAACTCTCTCACCAAAAAGATAAACATGCCAGTATACATGTTAGAGAATACAGTTTTAGGGGTTCACGAGCCCCTAAGCCTACCTGTGTATTCCAGGTTAAGCCCTCTGTTTATGGTCGATCCATTACTTACATATGTAAGTTTTTATAAAATAAAGTATCTTTTAAATATTCATGGATCAGGTAATGAGAGCAAATTTGAATAAAATTATGTTCTACATATACTGGGAGCATAGCCTATACCTGTGTCCCTTTGAAAATTTAGCCTTAACATGTTGCAGCCACTGGAATGGCAAAGGAAACCACTGTACTCTTTGTTTTTTTGAAAAAGTATTATGTATTAACAAATTATGCAGTGAATGATTTAAACTTGCTTTTCTTTCTTTTTTTTAGAAGGCAGAGAGAGGGAGAGGGAGAGCAAGATAGTGCTGCCATCCACTGATTCACTCCCTAGCTGCCCACAGCCAGAGGTGGGCAGGTCACCGTCAGGATCTGAGAGCTCAGTGCGCATCTCCTGTGTGAGTAGCAGGGACCCAGCCACTTCAGGCGTCACCTGCTGCCTCCTGAGGTGCACAGTGGCAGGCAGTGTGAATCAAGAGCGGACACCGCACTCACACCCACACACTCCACAACCGCGTGCACCCATCCCAGTGACTTCTTAACTACTAGGCCAAACGCTCATCCCATTTTTTAAAAAAATTTTTTGTTTTACAGGTGTTAATTCCAAATAGAGCATGAATTTTTTTGTATTCAAAAAATATTAATTGAGCACCTTCTGTTTTCCAATTACTGTTCTAAGCACTGGGCACACCATAGTGAACAAACAGAAAACCCTGCTTCTGTGGAGTTTATAAACAGGGCCTCCTGCTGAGAAATGGTTATAAAGGATGAAAGAAGGAAAAAACAAGAGTGACTCTTAGGTTTCTTGATTATGTGGATAAATGATGATGTGGATCTCCAAACACTCTTTTATAAAATTCCTAGTGCAGTAGAGCTATTAGTATTTTCAATGTGTAAGTAAGATAAGCTGAAAGTGCTTTGGAGCAGTCGCTGTGATGGATACGCCGAGGTTCCAATGCAAATGATCCAGCATTAGGAGAGTCCCCACAACGGGTAAGCTGTGATAAGGGAACTCCGGTGTGAAGGAAATGTTAAAGAGTGCTGAGATTGCAGATGCAGTTTATGATGAACTTGGAGAACCTAGAAATGACAACGTTACTGATAAATCCACATGCCATACAACTCACCTAGTTGAACCATGCAGTTGCGAGGTTTTTAGTATATTCTCAGAGACAGGCAACCCTTTGCCACAGTCAGTGTTGGGACATTCCCATCAGCCCTGGTACAGGAGAAACCCTGTACCTCTGAAAGCCCACTTCCACTCCAGCCCTAGGCCGCCTCTAATCTGTCTTCTGTCTCCATGGATTTGCCTGTTCTGTACATGTCATATAAATGGAATCCTTCCATATATGGTGACTGACTGCATTAACTTTGCTTAATGTTTTCACGTTAAATCTATGTTGGAGCACAGATCAGTGCTTTCATTCTTTTAAAACATGTTATATTTAGGCCGGCGCCACGGCTCACTAGGCTAATCCTCCACCTTGCGGCGCCGGCACACCGGGTTCTAGTCCCAGTCGGGGCGCCGGATTCTGTCCCGGTTGCCCCTCTTCCAGGCCAGCTCTCTGCTGTGGCCAGGGAGTGCAGTGGAGGATGGCCCAAGTGCTTGGGCCCTGCACCCCATGGGAGACCAGGATAAGTACCTGGCTCCTGCCATCGGATCAGCGCGGTGCACCGGCCGCAGCGCATCGGCCGCGGCGGCCATTGGAGGGTGAACCAACGGCAAAGGAAGACCTTTCTCTCTGTCTCTCTCACTGTCCACTCTGCCTGTCGCAAAAACAAAAAAACTGCTGACAGAACCGGATCATGTTTATTTGGAAGGCAGAGAGATAGAGCTCCCACCAACTAGTCCACTCCCAAGTGCCTTCAGTGTACGGGGATGGGCTGAGGCCAAAGCCAAGAGCCAGGGACTCCGCCTGGTCTCCCCTGTGGGAGGCAGGAACCCAGTTACTTGAGCCATCTCTGCTGCCTTCCAAAGTCTGCATTAGTGGGAAAGGGGAGTCACGAACTGGAGGCAGGACTTGAACGCAGGGACATCAAGATGCAGGCACCTTAACTGCCAGGCCCAATGCCTGCCCCCTTTCTTTAGGGCCATCCCATCACATAGTTTTGTCCCAATTTTTTTAATCCATTCATCAGTTGATGAGCTTTCGCATTATTTCAAGCTATTGTGAATAATGCTGCTATGAATACTTGGGCACAAGTTTTACATGAGGTTTAACTTTTCAAGGGTGTATGCCTAGGTAGGAGTGCGATCACTGTCACACAGTAACTGTGGACAGCTTTGTAGGGGACTGGCAGCCCGTGTTCCACAGCAGGGACACGTGTTCCGTTTCTGCCAGCAGCACGCGCGGGCTGCAGTTTCTCCACTTTTTGTCTGTCTTTTTTTTTGGACCAGCAGAGTTAGTGAGACAGAGAGACAGAGAGAAAGGTCTTCCTTCCATTGGTTCACCCCCTAAATAGCCGCTATGGAAGCCAGGAGGCAGGTGCTTCTTCCTGGTCTCCCATGCGGGTGCAGGGCCCAAGCACTTGGGCCATCCTCCACTGCACTCCCAGGCCACAGGAGAGAGCTGGACTGGAAGAGGAGCAACCGGGACAGAATCCGGCACCCCGACGACTAGAACCCGGGGTGCCAGCGCCACAGGCGGAGGATTAGCCTAGTGAGCTGTGGCACCGGCCCCACTTTTTGTCTTTCTGATTGTAGCACCCTAGTGTGTAAAGTGGTACCTTGCTATGATTCTGCTGGTGACTTACAATGAACGGCTTTTCCTGTCCAGGTTGGCTGATAGTATGAGGCTACTTTGAAAAGTTTGTGGAAAATGGAATTAAAAGTTAAATTCATTTTGGTGCAGAAATGTTGAAATCCGTACATTTGAGAGGTCTTCCAATATTTCATTGAAAATATATACCAAAAAAACTATGTGTGGATATCAACTTTAAAAAAATTTTTTAGTTCCATTTCCCACATACTTAAGATTTTTTTTTTTTTGAAAGGCAGAATTACAGAGAGGTAGAGGCAGAGAGAGAAAGGTCTTCCATCCTTTGGTTCACTCCCCAAATCATTGCAACAGCTGGAGCTGGGCCGATCCGAGCCAGGAGCCTCTTCCAGGTCTCCCACGTGGGTGCAGGGGCCCAAGGACTTGGACCATCTTCTACTGCTTTCCCCAGCCATAGCAGAGAGCTGAATCAGAAGTGCAGCAGCTGGGGCTCGAGCTGGCGCCCCTGCGGCGGCTTCACCCGCTATGCCATAGCACCGCAGCCCCTCCCCCCAAACTTTTTGCAGTACCCTCATCTACTTTTGAAGAAATACCTAGTCAGGCCTTTTACCCATTTTTCAATTGAACTAGTTTCTTTTTTCTTTATTTAAATTGAGAACTTTGGAAGTACAGGAAATGTTACTACTCTTAGAAAAGCAATCTGCTCTCTGCCAATGAATTCATCACCCTTTGAGTCTGAGTCTGGTCCTTCCTCTTTAATATGGCAGTTGCTGAACATTCTTAGCACTGTAGCTTTCGAGTTGAAAACTTGCTCTTTAAATCCATTTCTATTTCCTGTCCAAGGTGGTTTTCCCATAATACAGGGTGACGGTTTCTAACCCCGCAGAAGCGTCGTGAAGAGCAGGCGCCCAGTGCCTGTGTAATGCGAGACCCGGGTGCGTGCTCAGTAGCTTCTGAGTCCAGGAGTTAGGCCACTCTCACTTTAGAAAGAGAACACTGGGGCCTCAGGGCAGGCGCAGGAGGCACCACAGTGCCCCGACTAGCTGCCAGTAGCGTCGTGCTGGTGCCACCAAACAGGACTGGCCACTGTGGGGCCAGAGGAGCCGTAACCTGTGTGTTCGTCAGCCTCAGGCACCTTCACGCAGAGGTGCTCAAGTCAGGTGGTTTTGTCTTAGTTCAATTATGTGTCACAAATCCCATGTAAGAGGAAGTGGAGTGAGACCTTTCCCAGAAAGGATGGTGACAGCTTTGCAAGACTGTAAGTTGGCGAGACTTGATGACCTATATACGGAAAAGAAGAATTGAAACATGGTAAGATCGGGTTTGTAGCGGGGAGGAGATGCCCTCGATGCTCCCACATCCACTCACTGAAAGCACGGGCTTGCTTTAAGGGGGAAGAAAAAAAGGCAGTCAAGGCTTGGTGAGCTTGGCCGGGCTCTGCATGGCTTGTAACAGCAGAGGGTCAAGTTGGAGAACTGCATTATCTGAGTCCTTGGGAAAGGCTGATACATCAGCAGGCTTCCACTGGAGCAAGAGCTGCCCTGCCTTTTCTCTCTCCTCCTTGCAATAAATAGTTTTGGGGACTCTCTGTGTGTGCACGCTGGGGATAGAGTCACCAGCCAGGGGTGAAAGCTCCATGTTCCGCAGAGCTTCCCACCTGGGAAAGGAGTCGTGTTAATCAGAGAATGAGAATGAAATGGGTTAAATCGTGAGTCGAGCTGGGGACACATACAGTACTATGATAGCAAATGCATGGGAGGTTGGGGAGGGCTTCCCTCAGGGGTGCAAAGAGGAGGGGGACTTGGAATCGGCCGCTGTGGCCGTGTGGTGGCAGCAGAGTGGCTGTATGGATCTTGCGGGTTATGAAGCAGATGTGAGACTATCCTAAGGACAGTGGAAAGTGAAGTAATACCATTGCGTAGTATTTGGAGTAGCATTGGTTCTTTAGAATGTCATTATTTATGTCAGTCTCATATCCTTATGTCGCTTTTACAGACATCTTCAGTGGTTCCCTATTGCAGTAGTCTGAGTCTGGCATTTAAGGCTCTTAGCTAAGGTCTCAACCCACACTTTAGATTCATATTCCACCTCACTACCCTGACCTACTGCTCACCTGCCCCCCACCCACTTTATGCTCTGCCTCTGAGAGTCTCACTCATTCCTCAAAAGTTCAGTTCCCCTCCTTTGTGAAGACTGCAGGTCCTCTACTGAGGACTCATCCCGCCCACTGCTGGCTGCCTCCCACGTTTGGGAGAAATGCATGCGTCTGTCCTGTGCGTCCCTTACGTGCCCGAGGATCCTCAGTCTGAGGAGGGACACCTGTCTTACTGTGAGAAGTTACCCCCTTCCTCCTGGGCGTCCTGGCGCAGGGGGAGGGGCCCTTTG